CCACATCGTGCTGTGCACCTGTGCACCACATCGTGCTGTGCACCTGTGCAACACATCGTGCTGTGCACCTGTGCAACACATCGTGCTGTGCACCTGTGCATCACATCGTGCTGTGCACCTGTGCACCACATCGTGCTGTGCACCTGTGCACCACATCGTGCTGTGCACCTGTGCAACACATCGTGCTGTGCACCTGTGCACCACATCATGCTCTCTACATAATTAAGTGCACACAGCACAGTCACAACATTGCACCTGGCAACATAATGTACCCGACAGTATACGTTCAACGACAAGGTAATGTTCATAAGACATCTCGAACAAGCAGCTCTTCTCGCGACCTAAAATGTCTGGTTACTCACGACACACATCACATCACACTCACACAGCTGTATTTACTTCGGTGTATGAGTCATAATCACTATACTACCTATACTACGTGTTCACACATATACCGGGCAGCTTGACATGTAATCATCAGCAGAAACTATACACGACTCTGCGATGTCAGAATGCTTTGCATGATCCTGCGAATTTACAGTCTGCATGCTCAACATAAAATCTTTTGACCCAACAACATCAAGAGGCTTCACACGATCTTGGGCATCAATGCCACTCGCATGCTTCACATGATTTTATAAAGCCAAACGACAGCAGCCAAGTGCTTTACAAACCCCATGCTATTCACGCCATTTAGACTGCTCAGAGCACAAGCTACAGCTGATGATCTCAAAGCGAATGCACATTCATATCTCGTTGCTTGCACGTAACAAACGTCGTTTTAGAACTCTCTTTTGTCTGGATATCTTAAAAATTTCATTCGTATCGAATAAATCTTTGCGTTATTTGTCTTTACATTTTGATTCCATTCACGACCTTCATGTAAATGACTAAATTAAATAATAATCGCATATGATACAATATAAAATAAAAAAGTTGCCCCACGATGCCCCCAGCTGTTGTTTTATTATCTCGCAACTATATTCCTCAGTCTAATGAGAAATTTAGTAAACGATGAAAACCGATTGCACAAATGTGGAAACTTACTCCGTCTCCGACGACGACTCGGAGACGGAGGACGACGAAGGCGGCGCATCAGCGTGACCGTGGACTGCGACGTCCTAAACTCATCATAAGGTCATAAGGTCTGTGCATGAGGCAGATCAACCTGTATGTATACGGCCATTAAACTGCTCGTTCATAAATAAAGTAAATCACGTGAAGGAACCGTGATCGTGGTAGTAAGGGTCAGAAGCAATTAAACAAAGCTGAGGGATATGATTCATAGCCAGCGCGCCGGTACCCTATCGTCGGCCACCGAAAAGCCTGAGCAGTTTTAGATCAGTTAATTCAAGTAAATCACGTGAATGAACCGCGCTTATGGTAGCAAGAGTCTGAAGCAATTAAACAAAGCTGAGAAATATGATAAATATGATTCATGGCCAGCACATCGGCACCCTACCGTCGGCCACCGAAAAGCCTGAGCAGGTTTATATCAGAGGGCCATACTTTCAAAAAAGTTAAGAGATCGTAAGTTCATCATCAGCCAATCATTGCCGGCCTTGCAAGCAAAATCCACCAATCATAGACAAGAAAATAGAGCGTAAGTACTTACGTTCACTTAGCGAGTTTTGAAAGTATGATCCCAGTTATGCATGGAGCGCCCAGCGTACGTGCTGATTTAGGCAATGAAGCTCTGCAGTGTTGCACAATACTGACATCGAGGCACCTGCATACACACCCAGGGCGTGCATATCAACAACATATTTGCAACACCTCAAGGCTGTTGAATTATATTCAACGCAGAGCCTGTCTTGAGCATATATTCTGGAGCTGGTCTAGTGAAAATATTCTAGAGCTGGTCTAGTGAATACATTCTAGAGCTAGTCTAGTGAATATATTCTAGAGCTAGTCTACTGAATATATTCTAGAGCTAGTCTACTGAATATATTCTAGAGCTAGTCTAGTGAATACATTTTAAATTACAGTTTAACGCAAGTGCAATGCACATAGCCTGGTGCTAGTGCCGGGCACACAGCTTGTTGTTGAACACTCAATTCACAGTCTCAAATTCAAATCGCACAAGGCCCCCGAGAAATATTTAATTTTAATTATAATTTGGTAATTAAACCAGGCACTTTCTGGCTTGAACAAACCTCCGTCAGCTAATCATTGACGGCTTTTCAAGCTAAACCAACAAATCACCAACGAGAAATCGCCCTCTCAGTGTACTTAATAATTTTGAAAGTACGGCCTGAATGCCGGTACTCTGCCCAGCCACAGCCCTAAAAACGTGCAGATCCTAACCAATGGTGTAGCCAACTATAATAATATTCATTTAATATTATGCTTTATAATATATATAATAATAATATATTAATAATATGGTTTACAAATCATTATCAAGACCCACACGGCACAGAATATAGATCTACTGATGACTAATAATGTGATGATTTTCAATGTTAGCGCACGATGAACAACCAACAAGCGGGCGCCGCCAGATTTCACTCGGGAAAGTGCGATGCAGATGCGACATGTACCTGCACTTTCAAAATTCGCTAAGTGAACGTAAGTACTTACGCTCTATTTTCTTGTCTATGATTGGTGGATTTTGCTTGAAAGGCCGTCAATGATTGGCTGATGAACTTACGATCTCTTGAATTTTTTTGAAAGTATGGGCCATGTACGCTACGTTGTGCAACACAAGCGGCGAGCTGCCCCGTGAACAATGATTCTATTTTTTATTTATAAAAAACTATACGCAATGTTAGTGTGAAAAATGCAATTGCCAGTAAAAAAGTAAATGGCCCTCAATGCCAGCTCTAATGGGGACAATTAATATCTGGCACCCAAGGCACACAGTCGCGCAGTTTTTATTAAACAATTCAATCAACGTCATGATGAGGGACATCGAGACAGAGATTGTTTCCTGGAATACAATAAAAATTCTGTAACATGAGCTAATGTTTCGAAAACTTTCCTGCCAACTATTTGCACGACAAAAAAATATATGGCACAAAAAAAATACGCGCTCCATGTTATTCCCAAATATTTGAACCAAAATTGAACTATGAGGTTTATTTAATAGTAATATAACAGTGACTAAACGTGCATCTTGCTATTTAGACTAATTATTTTTAACATTTTCTACAATAATCCCTGGTAGTTGGAGAAATAATTTAGCTTCAAGCTTAAAGAGCCCATATTTAAAATTATTATTTTATTATAGACAAATTATTGACGTCAAAGGTCAAATTACAAAATTTAGCAATCAACTGGACCAACAAAAAAAGCTAACCTAGCTTTGGTACACGTGCAATCGCTATATTTACCCTACAATCAACCTACTAGTCGCTTATCGTTCATTGATAAACTCACAACAGGATCTTTTCACAGCGTACAACCTCGACCTGCAATCTCCCTATTATCGTGGATAACGTAGAAAACATCACAATGCAATAATGGTTTGCAAACATATTATTGGAAAACAACAACGAAAACTATAATCATATGAGCATCATTATCATTCGATAGCTGCAATCGAACACGTTACTGATATTAAGCTCATGCGTGTAACTCACACACGCCAAGGCCTACACGTCACTGATATCAAACTCATGCGTGTAACTGTGACACACGCGCCAAGACCTACGCGTCACAACACACGCCAAGACCTACACGTCACTGATATCAAGCTCATGCGTGTAAGTGTTACACACGCCAAGACCTACACGTTACTGATATTGAGCTCATGCGTGTAAGTGTCACACGCCAAGACCTACACGTTACTGATATCAAGCTCATGCGTGTAAGTGTCACACACACGCCATGACCTACACGTCACTGATATCAAGCTCATGCGTGTAACTGTCCCACACGCCAAGACCTACACGTCACTGATATGAAGCTCATGCGTGTAATCGTCACACGCTACGGTTTGCGTATATTCGATCACCCCGAAAAAAGGTCACGGAGTGTTGTGCTAAATCCCTAATGCGGTTGTCGCAGCGCAAGTAATTCCGAGGCGTCGTGTTGCTGCATCAGATCGGCAAATTAGGATAACAATACAGCGGTGCAGGCTGGTTGTGGAGTGTGGCTAAGATACCAGTGATGCAGGAAAGATGTAACTGCAAGAGTGCAATAAACAAATTGGTGATAAAGGCTGGTTGTGGAGAGTGGCTAAGATATCAGTGATGCAGGAAAGATGTAACTGCAAGAGTGCACCGAACACATCAGCGATGCAGGCTGGTTGTGGAGTGTGGCTAAGGTACCAGGGAATCAGGGATACAGGAAAGATGTAACTGCAAGAGTGCACTAAACAAATCGGCGATGCAGGCTGGTTGTGGAGTGTGGCCAAGATACCAGTGATGCAGGAAAGGTGCAAGTGCACGAGTGCAATAAACAAATGGGCGATGCAGGCTGGCTGTGGAGTGTGGCTAAGATATCAGTGATGCAGGAAAGATGCAAGTGCACGAGTGCAATAAACAAATGGGCGATACAGGCTGGTTTGTGGAGTGTGGCTAAGATATCAGTGATGCAGGAAAGATGCAATTGCAAGAGTGCAATAAACAAATCGGCGATGCAGGCTGGATTGTGGAGTGTGGCTAAGATATCAGTGATGCAGGAAAAGTGCAATTGCAACAAGAGTGCAATAAACAAATTGGTGATACAGGCTGGTTGTGGAGTGTGGCTAAGATATCAGTGATGTAGGAAAGATGTAACTGCAAGAGTGCACCGAACACATCAGCAATGCGGGCAGGGCACAGCACATCTGTCTAACATTGATGCAGGCTGTGCACTCCTGAATTGAGCTGAGTTCCAGACTGCAACATTAAATACGGGAGCAAGTGATGTAAGGTAGAGGGACGACATAAAATACGCGGGTAAAAGTCAGAGACATTTAAGATAATAGTGAAATGAAGCTACGCGAGTGAAAAGAAAACCTCTTCAGAAGAAATGAAGCGAAGCTTAGAAGTGGCACGAAGCAGTATCAATTAAAGCGGAAGCTACCAGCAGCTATAATACAACGAAAGAGACGTATGAGAGGTAAGGCGTCGTATGCTCAAGACGGTGGATGAAGAACACTTCTGGCGTTATGGACGACGCAAGGCCGCGTTAATGACGTTGACACGTTCATAGTGTGGGACTGCGTTTACGACGCGGGACTACGTTTACGACGTGGGACTGCGTTAACGACGCGGGACTGCGTTAACGACGCGGGACTACGTTAACGACGTGGGACTACGTTAACGACTCGGGACTACGTTAACGAGGTGGGACTACGTTAACGACGTGGGACTACGTTAACGACGTGGGACTACGTTAACGACTCGGGACTACGTTAACGAGGTGGGACTACGTTAACGACGTGGGACTACGTTTACGACGCGGGACTACGTTAACGACATGGGACTGCGCAAACGACGCGGGACTACGTTAACGACATGGGACTGCGCTAACTACGCGGGACTGCGTTAACGACGTGGGACTGCGTTAACGACGTGGGACTACGTTTACGACGTGGGACTACGTTAACGACGTGGGAAGCGTTAGGCTGCCGGAAAAAGCGAGGTCACGGCGGTGACCAGCGACCTCGTCTCCGCATCGATGACACAGCCAGGAAAGAGGACCGGAAATGGCGAGCTCATTTCGACAAATTGTACAACACCGGAATTTACAGAATCTTCATGGTGAGAGAGATAAGATAATATCGCCTCAGATAATAGATCTTCATCGGCATATTCTTTTCATCGACTGAAATTTATTGGGCCAACTGCAGAAAGTTCGGGCGCGGGAGATAGCAGTTCGTGCTCCGATTGGACGCGCTGCATTACGTGATCAGATGGTCAGGTCATATTCCGAGCACCAGGGGCGTACAGTTTAGTATTGCAGCAGTGATGCTGCGAGTTATCATGTCAAAACATCATTTTAGATGAGGATCACTTAGAGCTGAACCTCATAGTAATAAATAATTAGTCATTATTTCGGTGTAGTTTATAGACTAATATTGTTAGATTTGCCTCTAAGGGGCGTTGCTATCTCTGTTGAGAATTAAGTTATTCTAAATGTCGTCACTAAATCCATTAAATAATTTCAAAAGATTAATTATTTAATTAATAATTAAAGAAACACAAGTTTTAATTACTTTGAATGCATAACACGCATTCAAGTACCGTTTTACATTTAAAATGAAAACAGACTTATCAAAATATAACTACACCTGCTCAAGTAGCACTTACATTTTTATTTTTCTAAAATATAACTCACCATGCTCATCTAATTTTTTTCGTCTCGTGATAAAACGTCGAGATTCAACTATAACTCAAACTCAATATAACTCAAAGTAATACTCAGTCGAGATTAGTTTCGTGGATACACGCGCCAAATTAAAAATTTACTAATGATATACGTATAGAATAGAATAGAGTATAGAAGTGTCGGCGTTGAAGAAATAGGCCCATGGCCTGTTGTATAGGAAAGGATATAGGATATACGTATAGGAAAGCTCTAACTTGCTAACTGCTGAGACTATAACAATTTTGCGCTCGAGGTAGCAGGTGAACTAATCCATACCGCAAGAGTGCAGCTCTGCAGACTCTGCAGGCTCTGCTGGTAAGGAGGATGCATCGTTCAGGTCTGAGCGTGTAAACAATGCCATGATCGAACAAGCACGCCACGTAAACACGGCATCAGCAGTCCGCTAATTAACACGATATGCGCTAACGCTAGCCTCAAATGAGCCTATAACGGTCGCCGAAACTAACTCTTTCGACGATTTGAAACAACTGAAAACGTCTTTAATTTGTCAAACATATGAACATTATATTGAGAAAAGTATTTGTGGTGAAAGTCTGTGTTTGTTTGAAGTGCAGCGCTGTAAGCATAGACGGGCAATTGGAGCGCGTGTCGACAATCCCTGCCGCGTCGGGATGCCGGAAAATTATATTTTGGATGATGGAATTATATTTTATAATTCGGATATTAATAATATAATTCCGCGTCGGGATTATATTTTGGATGGTGGAATCATAAGACGCTGAAACAGCGGAGGGAACTCAATTGAAAAGTATGCTTTTTAGTTGCACGAGTGTAGATTTTACTTTTAAAATAAAGTTTGATTAAAATGCAACAACTGCGATTCATGTGCCTGCGTCAGAAAATGAAATTGCAACTATTAAATATTCATCAAAACTTATTTTTCTACAAATAAAAAATAAAGTTCCTTCGAAATTACCAAGGGAGCTAAATTATTTTGACTGGATGTCTCTACCATCCACACCACTTCAACACGCAACTAACAATTTGACAATTATCAACGGGAACGATTTTTAGTGCATGCTATAAATTTATTTATTAAGTAAGCTGCATAATAAATTAAATAAATATTAGTAAGCTGCATAAAACTGCATAATAATTTTTCATATATCTAAGCATAAATATTTTTGACGAAATTTTATAACGATGTTTGGATAATGAATTTCAGCAGATACGCGGTACAGTCACCATAAGCACGTCACTGATGACACGTCGGAGAAAGTTGCTGCGCCGGAAATCGGCTTTCATTGGGCAGCATCCGCGTTCAGTTGCAAGACATGTTCCTCATAACCAACAAAGTCGGAAATTAACAGCATATCGCGGTACAGTCAATAAAAACAATTACAGGCGACCACTACCGCGAAGTCATCATTTACCCGACTTTGCAAGTGATTCATTAAGCATCGTGAATTCATCTAATGCGAGTTGGGTAAATATAGGGTTGTGTGAGGCAAACCAGGGGTCAATAAACGCCTAAAATTTCATAGTTTTGCCAGGACAACCTCAATTTCGATATCATAAAAAGAAAGCTGATTGCAATTATAAATCGAATGGAATAAGCTTAATAAGTTAATATTTTCTGCAGTTCAGTGTTCACGCACTGAATACGAGCAACATCCGACGTAGTACGCACAACATCCGGCATAGTGCGCACACCATATCTAATGCTTGGCACACGCAGAATCCAACATATAGTACACGCAGCATTCAAAATAGCACTCATAACATCCAGTGTAGCAAGCAAAAAATCCAACATAGCACACGCAGCATTCATGATAGCAGGCACAACATTCAGCATAGCACGCACAATATCCGACATAAAACGCGCAGCATCCAACATATCACGCACAACATCCAACATATCACGCACAACATCCAGCATAGCGCGCAAAACATCAAACATGGCACGCACATCAGGGTTATTTTTCGGAGTGATTATTTATTAATAATTTTTCAGCCAGAGTACTTCAATTACAATTATTAGAATTATATACACATGCGTGTATTAAAAAACATAACAACTTTGACACTATAGGTGCCAAAATATCTATAGCACAGGACTTGATATTGCATTAACCGTTTATCAGGCAAGTTTCCATAAATGGCTACTTTTCAAATCTCCCAAAAGACCGAAGATTTCCTCGGTCTGAGTTTATTTCAACATGTCATGCCTCTGCCAATCATCAATTATATATAATTATCTGGCCATCATATCAGGCATTGCATAACTCCCTACCAAGCTCGGGGATTAAATACTAGCATTTGAACAATTATTGTGGCCCAGACACCAAAATTGGCACTTTTCCCGAATATTTTTTTATATACGCGGAAGAATCAATATCTCTCCAACTATTATCATGAGGACCTTGATGATAGTAAAATATATTAATGCCTAATAGTTTCCCTTTACAGGTATTATGAAAGTTTGCACAATACTACTAAACATTTTGGACTTATTTTTAAAATTGTTCAACTCTGTCACTCCGTTATAATTAAAAAGGTTGAGAAATGCTCAAAGTGAATTTGTCTCTCACACGCGCCCATGCAGCTCTCATATTCACCGCAATCATTAACATAATTTAAGCACAAAACGTTGGAATCTGTAGCAATTATAAAACGATTCTCAATGAAACATTACCAATTAGAATAAAGGTCAAACCTAATTTTATTATAAGTCTTAAAGGAGATACTACATATCCTGTCTTTTCTGCGCCGCATAAATTTCCAACATAGAACACCTTGGATTCTTCTGTAGGAAACACGCGCAACGAAAGACTTCCATCCGCAGTCTGCTTACCTTTCTTTGTTTATGTTTCACTGTCCCAAATCAAATATTTAGCAAGGAATCGAAAAACAAAGGTAAGTTGAATAAAACTATGGCACTCGTGAAGACAAGATCATTGGTAACCTTGAAATATTTTTAGCGATAACAGAAAAGCGTTTTCAATATTTGAACGAATTAATAAACTTGGCAACTTGCAACAAGCAACGTACTTAGATCTCAAAAATACGAAGTAACTTTCAATACTTGCTAAGAAGTTGGAAGAAATATATTTCACGCTTCGCGCAGTAAGGTTACTGACTCACTTGAGAGCATTTATGAGAACAAACAGAGAGTTGAGGCTGACAGCAGCAAGGTCAAACTTAACCTCAAAACTGAAGTCTAAAGGACGTTCGTCTCGTGCAAACGGAGATACGGCACCAAATGGACTTGTATAGTAGAAAAAGCGCAAGACAAACACAACAAGTTGGAGCCACAAATTGATTCTATTATTGAAAGCAGTACTGATCCAAGAACTTGACCATAATATAGACTCAAGATTAAAAAAAACATTTTCTCATAAACCAGCGGTGTTACTTGCATGTCTTCTAATCTTATCATAATCAACGGAAGACTCGACTGATGGACTGTTGACGCGTTAGTTCTGCACCGGCACAAACTGCACACAAATTAACATTTAGCGCGGCCTATAGCCACTAACCTGCAGTAGACCCGAACCAACATTTAGCGCAGCCTAGCCAGTAGCCACTAACCTGCAGTAGACCCGAATCAACATTTAGCGCAGCCTAGCCAGTAGCCACTAACCTGCAGTAGACCCGAACCAACATTTAGCGCAGCCTAGCCACTAACCTGCAGTAGACCCGACAGGAGGAGTTGTTGACGCGTTTATCGGAGTTATATCGTCGGCGGTCTTCAAACAAATCTTTGAGCGCCGTGACGCTGAGCACGAACAGCAGCGGCAGCATTGCTACCTCCTTGGCGAACGCGTTGATCGATGGCACGAAGTTCAGCAGCACGATGAACAGGAAGTAAATGTTCGCGAACCTGACAACACCATGATAAAGAATACCATTAATTCTAAAAGACCTTTTCGGTTCAAAACTTAAAGCTAACAGACACGTTGTAACTTCTGAGTTATTAGCGGAAAATATATTAATATGGACAGGGACCAAACAGCCATAATTATGTAATAAATGTGAGGCAATTTACAGATATTATTAACAACAGTTATCGCAGTAACATTATTTTAAAATACAAATAATATTATTTTAAAAAATAAAGCACATGAATAACGGAACGGTGCAGAATAGCACACACTTTGCGGATAAAACTACAAGATGAACAAACTGACCTGTGGAACTGTTCGAATAGGTTTTTAGGGATGAAAGTGACAAGGTTATACTTGGTGGTAGTAACTCGGTTGGAGGGATGCGAGGCGTTGGGGTTGGTTGCGTTATCAGGTTGCAAAGTATGGTTCACAACCACGGTACGAGTAGCCTGCTCTGCAGGTAGCTGGGGAATGTCAATGCAACCATTCAGTGGAATGACAGGATTAACATGATATTATTCCAGTTAGTTTGCAGTGATCGCGGATAGAGTGACAAGTAACACTACAAAATTTGAGCGCGTTAAAAAAAAAAAAATAGCGAGCGTGAACAATATTAGGGACGGTGTTCACTCTTGAGTTACATTTATGTGCAGTACGTATTTGATTATTTTGTTGTTCACGCTAAAAAATCAAATTATCACTCAAAAAATGACGGGTGCTGATAATCAAACATTTTATAAAAATCAAGCAAATAAAGATTCAATTGCCGGTTTGTGGCAGCCAGCCAGAAACAACACGTTACCTCCTTAAAAAAAAATAACCCCCAAATCACAAAATTATTAAATTATTAAAAGTCGTCAACTTTTCCGCACTCACAGATCTGCCGACAAGCGAAAGCAGCCGTTGATAGAGGGACATCTTGTTCTCGCGGATGGTGTAGATGCTTTCAGTTTTAGACGCGTTTCGTTTGTGACCACCCAGCGGGAATGAAGAAGTCCTTCCTAAAGACGGCTTGGCAGCCGCTTGCCGACGCTCCCTCTCCCGCTGCTCATGCCCTGCTGGAAGGATGAAGTCTGTGCGGGATCCTGCTCTCTTGTGCCCCCGATGGTGGGGGCCGGTCACCCCGTCCACGGTCTGTCCATGAGAGAAAGTTCGATGGTGGGTCCGGACATGTCCTTGCTTTTGAGAAACAACCTCTTCTGTGCTGGGGTTCATTAATATTGACTGCTGAGGAGAGACTCCTGCCATGACGCTCTTGTGCGGTGGTGTGGACGCGGCCTCCGCGCCATGTGTCCACCCACCGCCGACTGCCGGGGAGTTCCCCGTAGGTTGAGGCTCCCCAGACGGCAGGTACGTAAATTTCCCTCTACGAGTGTCAAAAGGGGAGTACGGCACTGAGGGTTCATAGGACCACACGGTGCCTCCATGAGATGCGCTACGTGCATGAGTGCGCTTGGCTTTCCCTACACGTCCTCCAGGGGGATCTATGTCCCCACTGGATGAGGGTATGTCAGCTCCAACCCCATTTCCTGCTTCCATTTTTCAACATTCCACCTCAACTCTGAAAAGATGAACATAGTTCACAGATTTACAACAGTGCCGGAATGTTGCGACGGAATAACGTCAGGCACAACATCCAAATCAGAAATAATACGATGCATCTACGGAATTAAGGACGGTTCTCTAGAGATTGTGGGGCTTTTTAAGTTATAGTTTTGCGGAGTTAACCAATTGCTTGTGTATATATTCAAATGAAATATTATTCTACATCCAAACACGACTATATTCAACAAGGTAATTTCAATTTAATCCTAGAATTAGATCTTCTTACATAAAATGTAATTTTCAAATTGACATTAATTAGTCTAGGTACTAAAAATGTTTGGCCTGAAAATTTTAAACCTATTTTTAAATATTCGTAAACATCTCCTCCTAGTCTGAAAGAGTTCTTTGGTCTCATTATCTAATCTACAGCGTGATTGTTATCAGCCGACAATGGTTAAAATGTCAAGCATTTAAATATTAATGTGTATAATGCTCGCGGTTTAATATTTTAAAGACCAATTAGTAGTCAGCAGAGCGTTGAGTATGATCTTAAAAAATATGCACTTTGTTTTCTATTGAAATGCTAACGATTATTAGAGAGTGAGACAACGCACTTAAGACGAAGCATGCACTTTTAGAACAAGCAACATGACACAGCAAATCTCAAATTATTATCACCAAATATGCGAAAGATATCGGCCGTCAAAAACGTGTTCAAACCCGACCTAAGTTATCAATGATAAGAGGCGAGTTAAGCCTTATTTTGCTGCATGATGAAGCCGGCCAGCTATCATTAGGGGCAGCTCTGAGAGACGATACAGACAGACTTCCAGACAGACAGACAGACTTCCAGACAGACAGACAGACTTCCAGACAGACAGACTTCCAGACAGACAGACAGACTTGGGTGTATGCAACGACAGTAGGTAGAGACGAATAGGCGAGGAGAAGAGATAGGCAAACAGAAATGGAAGGGATATAGGTAAACAAAAATTAAAAAATATAGGCGAACTGACACGAAAAGAGATATACAAATTGACACAAAAAAAAGGATATACGAGCTGACACGAAAAATGGATATACAAACTGACACGAGAAAAGATATATCGTACGAACTGACAAGAAAAAAGGATACACGAACTGACACGAAAAAAGGATATACGAACTGACGCGAAAAAAGGATATACGAACTGACGCGAAAAAAGGATATACGAACTGACACGAAAAAAGGATATACAAACTGACGCGAAACAAGGATATACGAACTGACTCGAAAAAAGAATATACAAACTGACGCGAAAAAAGGATATACAAACAAGCTGACGCGAAAAAAGGATATACGTACAAACTGACGCGAAAAAAGGATATACGAGCTGACGCGAAAAAAGGATATACAAACTGACGCGAAAAAAGGATTATACGAACTGACACGAAAAAAGGATATACGAACTGACACGAAAAAGGATATACGAACTGACACGAAAAAAAGGATATACGAACTGACACGAAAAAAAGGATATGCAAACTGACGCGAAAAAAGGATTATATACGAATTGACTCGGAAAAAGGATAAATGAACTGACATGAGAAAATGATATACGAACTGACATGAAAAAAGGGATAAGCGAATATAAAGAAAATGATATGACCTGAAATGAAAGAATGGATAAGCGAACAGAAACAAAAAATGGATACGCAAACAGATATAGGTAAAGTAATAAGCGTAAAATAAAAGTAAAATAAGGACAGACGGAAAGAAACAATATTTATGGGCGAACTGAAATGAAAAAAATAGGATATGTGAACAGAAATGAAACAGGGATAGACAAAGAGTAAATAAGACAAGGGGACACCGTGCGGTAGGTGCGCGCAGTACGTCGTTGGCAGAGCGGCACTGAGACTTGCGAGGTATCCTACTACCTATCCTATCCATGTTAGAGCAGCAGCTGTAGCGCGTATGCATGCTACGAGCTGACGAGACACCAAACAAGCTAGCAAGTCAGGCGACATGAAAAATAAGTAGCAAACTGCAGCAATGAATACACCTATGAATGAAACTTCTAATTATTACAAGATTTGAAACAGAGCAGAGGTCGCCACAGACGACAAATCGTCCGTCATGTATTCATATGCATGCCCGTTAATGTTTCTTCAGAAAGTTTGGACAATACGACCCCAGATATATGTGAATGTATGTGAACGACCTTGCTGACAATTTTTGCTATTCTCAACTATTCTTTTAGAGTAGTTGAAGAAATTTTTTAAATATTTTATAAGATGCTCAAGACATTTTCAGAGAAGCCCATTCATTATCTAAAGGAATGACTGACTTCATGGTCCTTAGTTGTTTTGTTGGTACAAAATATGTACGAGTGTTAGTGAAGCACATTTGTCAGCCCTCCAGACGTTAGGGGAATAATAGAATGTACATCATTTTTCTTAACCCAGTTCGAGAATCCTATGAAAAGACAACAGTCAATAAATTCTGTACTACATGTTATAAAAAGTAATTTTCATTTTCTCCAGCAAACTGCTAGTCAACTTGAAAAGTGGCTGAAATTTTTGTGGAAATAAACCATTCTACACTTGTGAGTGGCTATAGCATGTTCACTATTAATCAAGTCAAATCTATTTCTACATTATAGGTGACCAATTCTGAACAAATCACTTCATAAATTCTTTCTTAAATTATATTGGGCAATTGTAAACATCAATAATAGTGCCCTCAAAATTATGGTGTACCCATCTTGAGTATAAATTCAAAGTTGAATATTTAAATTCTAGCATTTGTTTAGCAGTAACCAAGGCTGTAATAGCCATAATGGCATCTAGTTTCAGTGATTTTGAATTGCATATTACAGAAATTATCTAAGATAAGAAATTGGTGCAATAACGTGACATTTTTTTATTGCATGCAGCAGAAACGTTGACTGCTTTATGAATTAGTAACTACTTTCCAACATCTGCCAAGACAATTCACATCTTTCTGAGGCAGGAAAGTTCCTCATGTCAACTGAAGTACCTAGGTATGCTTCGTGATTATTGTCAGTAGCTAATTTTAAAATTTTTCAACCATTCTCATGACCTGTTACAGATTATAAGAAACTGCATCTTTCAAGATTATTACATTAAATATCTTCTGGAGTTGATCAAGTTTAAAAGTCCAAGGATTTGGCAATATAAGTGGGTGTATTTAATTTTAATATGCATGTATTTAATTTCAATATGGCACAGATTAGTATGTTCTGTATTCTTCTCAGTCACTGAGTGGGATTTCCACTTTAGTGTCGTTGCTTTACCAGACTAACAATTAGGCAAATGTGCTTTGGAAACAATGAGGGTTTCTGTATGAAATCTACATTCAAAATGAAATCCTTTTTTTGATATTTCAGGAACACAAAGAACATTAAAGCCTGGCACTTCATCCATGGCCTGACTATAAAGTATGGTTATCAAAGCAAAAAATTCTAGGGTAGCAGTTAGAAATGGGGTCATTTGACCTTACACTAAGGATATGATTTGAAAATTAAGTTGGCTGCTGAACAGCTGAAGTGCAAATGTAAAAATATTTGAGATGAGCAAAACTGAATCATTATATACCGGTATCATGGATATTAATTGGCCAAGAAATGGCCCCTGCTAGCTATATAAAAAAAGAAGGAGCATAAGGTTTGCAAGATGCAATTAATTTCAAGAAGCAGATTAGAAAAATTGCTTGCTACATTCAAACATTCTCAATGCCTCAAAGAAACAAATGCTTGAACTCTCAAGCAAAATACAAAATTTAGTGGCTGAAAAGGCCAAGTTTTGCAAACAAGGTACACTTTTATTAAATTAATACCAGTTTGACATTCTGCCTGCAGCAAAAAGAAAAAGTAGATAAAAGATGTGCAAAGAAAACTTAAAAGTTTCTGTCAGAAATTAGGGAGTATTTTTCAGACAAGAGACATTTTGGATAGTTTTTTAATTTAGGGAAAAGAATTTGTGATCATAGGAAAATTCAGGTAAAAGCAATGAACATATTAACCACAGTAAATTAGGTGCACATTGAGATCATATTGCCCATTCTGACCAACACCTGGGGAAGAGTAAGAGGAGTCCTTGAAAAAAAATTAACAAGCCCTACAGTTTTCTACAAAAATCAATAAGGTAAGGTTTGGGAGACTTTTCTTGTTGGAGAAATCCCTTGTAAACCTTTGAAAATGCTTGTAAACGTTAGTAAACGCTTGTAAAAGCTAGTAAACCCTTGTAAACCCTAGTAAATGCTTGTAAACACTGGGTAACGCTTGTAAACCCTTGAAAACGCTATTAAATGCTAGTAAACCCTTTTAAACCCTTGTAAACATTGTAAATGCTTTACAGGTAATGGAGAGTACGGCATATGATTTTTTCATGGTGTGATTTTTTTATATGGATATCTTAGAAAAATTGTTCTCACTGACTGTCCGAGGACCCTATTTCATTTGGAAAACAACATATCATTGATACGGGGTAATAAGGGATGCTTTTTTTGTTTTTTTTTCCATTGATAGTTTCTTTCCAAGAAACATTTCATGAACATTTGGGCTCATTTTAAAGGTCTTTACAAGCACTACCATCAAACGGGGTAATAAGGGACAGGCGGGGTAAATTGGGACGCAGGTCTCACATTTCGTAGAAATGTTGTAGCAGCTAAACTAATCAAAATATTGCGAAACTAAAAGTAGTGGCATAACTTCAACATTTTTACTATCTATTATGCATAAAGCTAGTTAAGAAATCATACATTTACTATCTCTAAAAATTTGCTGAAAAAAGTGTGAAAAGTGTGATTTTGGATAAGTACCTCTACTAAGGTCTGGAGCAAAAAAATATTCACCATATTAAAAAGTTTTACTTGCATAAAAGTTGCACACAGGCGTCGACTTGAAATTGCAATTGACCAAATTTGCCTACCTATCTCATTCCAAAAAAATGGCAGCCTTTTCAGCGTAACAGGGTGATAAGGGACACCCCTAAAGACGCATTTACAGTTTAACCTCAGCTAGTAAAGGTTCCAGTTAACAAAAATATCAATCAACAACAAAGAATTTTGATTACATTTAGAATTTTGATTATATTTTTTGATGGAGGTACTTTTCACACTTTTCATACTTTTTTCAGCAATTTTTTAGAGGTAGTAAATGTACAATTTCTTAGCTGGCTTTATACATTAGAAAGAATTTTCATTACATACCTATACCTTGCTCAGTGAAAAAAAATTTCACTTATTGAAAAATTAATCATCATTTAAATTAATGCATCATCGGTCATCAAAATAGGTAGGTATTGTGCACAGAATGTCATATATAGAATTGAGCACTGAGCATCATAGAATGAAAAGTAATTACCCTAAATTATGATTAATTTCTCCAAAACATATATATGATGGTTGTTTCTAAAACATTCCTTTTTGTTTCAGGTAGGTATGTTTTTTATGATCTTTTATTATAGTGAATTCACTTAACCCAATTAAAATGGTGTGAAATTACAAGCCGTTGTGTAAGCTTACAGATACAGAAGAAATGCTATATGGCTTCTGATATGATGCTTGCAGTGGATAAAGTTGTTGTAAATACTCAATGGCATGTTTATGGATACAGTGATGGGAGCGGGAGGCAGGAATGAAGCTAGGTATTTAATTCAGTTGCACTTTGCACGCTGGCCCACGTGATATGTTGTTCTGCTCGTCTGAACTCTGAATTGCATGTTTAGTGTGCATGATGGAAAATTCTGCTTTGCAGCGTAGTTATAATTACTTAATGAAGTTTAGTTCATTGCGGTCAACGGTATTACTTTAGATTAAGTGCATCCAAAAAAAAGGTGTTTCTTCTAATTATATGTTTTTTGGGATGTAGATTAAGAATCTGAAATCGGTTTTTGGCGGTTGGCATCAGAAATTTTTAATGGAACCTGTTCCAAACTGGACCTAACCTGCAAGGTTTTCATTGATCGGCTAGTTTTTTTCCATGTTTGGGGTCCGTCCGGCGGCCAGAAAAACCTAGCCAATCAACAAGAATCTCGCAGGTTAGGTCCAATTAGGAACAGGTTCCATTAAAAATTTCCGATGCCAACCGCCAAAAACAGATTTCAGATTCTTAATCTACACCTCAAAAAACATAATTAAATAAAAAACACCCTTTTTTTGGATGCACTTAATCTTAAGTATTAACGCAGATGGTCATGGTCAGGAAGATGTGCCAGGTGCGCGGGAATTTATTTTGTCATTTTAACGACCTGCGCGGTGCGCCATACTACGTTGGTGAAAAAGCTGCGCCGTGCGCTGTACTTTAGAAAGCTAAAATAGTTCTACTATTTTAGTCGACAATATACGCGAGTATACTTGACTACGCGAGTCGAACTGACAATAATAAAATGTAAGACATGTCCGGGTTACTTCTGACTCTTCCGGTTGTCCGCCTTGTCGGATACGGAACGTACGGTAATTGTAAACTGCGGCTGTTATACATACAAAATGTAAACAGACGGTGTTCAGTGTTGCCATATGACTTTGGAGAAAATTTCTTCTAAAATAAAGATGGCCAGGATTGCGCGAACACGTGCGCGAAGATAATCAATTTTCATTACATTGCGCCAACTGTGCACAGCAATAGCTTAAAAAAAGTTAAAATGCGCGGGAAAATTCACCGAAAACATACATCATCCTGAGAGGCTGAGTGTGGCGCAGACCGCAGTCAACTTAAAAGACAAATTTTCAATCAACTAATACTTCTTATGAGTCTAACTTTAATTGTTGAGTGAAAGGTGCAGGCATACAGCTTGCAAGTGATTAGGTATTTTATAGAAACTGAGCAAGTTAGCGTACATGTTTTAAGCCTTTAAGAAGTTCATTTTTTGCCTCAAATAACAATGTTGGGTCAAAAAAGTGGGGAAAAAAGTGGTCTTGGTGGGCGTGGATCAAAATAATATATGAACCTTCGAAATTAGAACTCCGCCCTGACTGTCAGTAACTCAGTACTGTGGCAAAGTCAGTACCTATATACCTAGGTAGTAACAATTGATTCATTTCATGCTGATTGCTGACAGTATTTTAAACTTGCAGCATCAATTTTTCTTCAAGTATTACAAACATATCAAACTTTGTTATGGTTGGCACCATAAAATTAAAAATTTACTCAAATCAGTCTAATTAGTATAAAACATTTGAAGCAACAAAATTTCAATAAATTTGTGGTGAATAATGGTAGTAGCCTATAGGTATGTATAGGTAGGCCTACCTAGCGGCCTAATTATTATTTATAGGTAATTTAATTTATGATCTACATAAAATAACAATCAGCCTAGAAAACAATTACACTTATTAACTCTTTACTAAATAACACTTATCATATATTAGATTCACATAGACTTTCGTAATGTGAAATATTTCTCATTTAAGCCAACATGTACAAGTCTACTGCAACACGAGGAGAAATTCGAGACACCCTCCCAGTACACACCACATTCACACAGCACGACTGCACGTTTGAAACTAACGTGACGTCACATTTGTTGACAAGACAGTTTAGTTCTTCATCAAATTTGTTAAGAAAGTTCGAATACAGTTGAATCATCAGCTCATATAATTTCTACGAACAGCGTAGATTAATAGCGGTAGATGAGGATAGAAATGCATATTAAGGCATAAACCTTCAAATAGAAATATGTATTTTCTCATTTAAAATTTGAAGGAAAATATGATTTCAGTGTTACCATAGAAACGGTTTTGTTTGAGTGACGGGATCTTCTGCTTCATTTCTATTGTTTATGTAAGGAGTAGTGTCAGGATTGGAAGACGGCATTGAAATGGAAGCTTACACTGTGACTGGTAGAATAGGAGAAGGTGCCCATGGAGTGGTCGTAAAAGCAAAACACATTTTGACAGGGCGACCCGTAGCTCTGAAGAAAATTCCTCTCAGGCGACTTGACCAAGGGATGCCTGCTACAGCTCTTAGAGAAATTAAGGCACTTCAACAAATTCAAAGTGAATACGTGAGTTTTTTAACATTATAAACGTAATATCCCTAAATAAAAGCCTCAGTGGACTTTTACTTGGGTGAATCGATCCGTAATGTGCATGTGCAAGTCCAATTTTTTCCTCATAAAATCTTTTCTACTTCAGACAAGTTTTTTTTTGAAATTTTTTACCGTAATGATGTATTTATTATACTACATTGACAGAAAAAACACAAAAAGTTAAGGGACAGTTTTACTAAATGAAACACAATACGTCATTGTGTTGCCAGCTTTGATTACCGTCAATGACACACAAGACGCAACGCATCAGATACACTCAACTCACCTGTCGTAAAAAATATACCTATGTATGATGCTTCTCTAACTATGCTTTGTAAGGTTCGATTAACACATTATAACTACGTAGCTTCGTCGATCTTGCAGTGATTTGTGGTTCAGTTCCGCTGAAATAAATCGTATATATTCGAAATGGAACCGGCGACGTACCTACAGTGGCGACTCAAGTGGCAAAAACGATAGGCAATATTGGCCTGCAGCGATTCTTAACCATACGCGTCACCTTGCCGATTTCGACCGGAATTTTCACAATCAGACGCGATTCTCAACCACTAGCAGCTTCTATCATGCTGATCTTAAACACTCATTTGACAGAATTAAGAAAAAAAGAATTACCAAATATAACCCAAAACGTCACGGAAACATGTAACGACCACCTGATACCTAAAGTGAAACAGTAGTCCAAGTTCCTTCACAATATATATATGAACTCATTTCTACTTATTTCCTTTAATTATTTTACGGCATTAAGATAGAAGCTATGAAATGCTTTATAAATAATACAGCATCTCACGATTCTCAATCCTGACACAGGTGGTGCAGCTGCTAGACGTGTTCGCAGACGGCACAGGTTTTGTGCTCGCCTTCGAACTGATGCCAGGAGACCTGGGGGAAATGATCAGGGATGCAACCCGTCCCCTGACCGAGGCTCAGGCCAAGACATACATGGTCATGTTGATAAAAGGCGTTGCCTTCCTCCATCAAAATAACATCATGCACAGGGTGAATAGAAATTATTTGCTTTTATTACGAAGATCAGTTGCAGAAATCAAATTATTTTTGAAATGGTTAAATATTTCTTCAAACATTTCTCGTGCAACTTCTACTTCGTCATAACAACATAATGCATTTTAGATTTGTTTGCAAGAAATTTTCGAATTCTCAACATAGGTAGAGAATCAGCAGTTGTTAATATTCTTGGTTGTAATATAAAATTTTTGCAGGATCTGAAACCAGCAAATTTACTCATCAACGAATACGGGAGGCTGAAAATAGCCGACTTCGGGCTGTGCAGAATATTTTCGAAGAAGAGAAAGCGGCTCTACTCTCACCAGGTGAATAAAATAGAGTTCAATATTCTAAAGAAAGTATAATTCAAAGAAAAAGTTTTCAAAGTAAACAAATGCTTAAACGTATTGAATTCATGTTGATTTCGTCGCGAGTAAGCAACCCTGTTACAACATTTAGAACCAGACTGACAGGTTGAAGTCATTGCCGCTATTAGAGATGAAGCTTAAATTATTCTATTGTTTATTTTATTCATGCTCATAGAGATTTCATCCCTCACATCTCACTGGAAATTATATAGAAAATTTCGTGTAAATTCTCATCCGAAGCAGCCACAATTTTCTTGAACTTCGATCCTTGCATCCAATGGTCGATTTTTCATGCACTAGGAGCATTTATGAAGACTTATTAAGCAAATAAGTAGGAAGAATAGAACTTTCATTCTATCGGATATTTTGAAGAAAAATATATTAATATTTTCTTCAAATAATAACGAAGAAAAATTGCTATAATTTAATCTTTGCATCTAGCAGTATATTCACCATCGTCAATGCTACTCTCATCTAAGAACATGAAGCCGTATTACAAGAACTTACTAAAGAACACATAGCGGCCGAAGTACGGTAGCGGCGGATTGCTCGGCTATGCTAGGTGGGTTTAGCTTGAAAAGCCGTTTTTATTCATTTTTTGATATCAAGGCCGCAGGTAATCAAAGTGACAGCATAGGACAGAGTTTGAACTCTCAGTCACGTCATAACCCATCCTAGTAGTGACGACTAGTAAAGTAGTGTTGGGGAGGGGCGGGAGGAGATGTAATAGGTCAGTTTTTCAGAACACTCAGGTCACAAGTATAGTTCCACCCTCGTCTCTGGCCGCAGGTAGCGACGCGCTGGTTGGAGATGTTATAGGTCAGTTTGTCACTGCACTCAGGTCACAAGTATAGTTCTATCCTCGTCTCTGGCCGCAGGTAGCAACGCGCTGGTTGGAGATGTTATAGGTCAGTTTGTCACTGCACTCAGGTCACAAGTATAGTTCTATCCTCGTCTCTGGCCGCAGGTAGCAACGCGCTGGTTGGAGATGTTATAGGACAGTTTTTCACAGCACTCAGGTCACAAGTATAGTTCTACCCTCGTCTCTGGCCGCAAGTAGCGACGCGCTGGGAGGAGATGTTATAGGACAGTTTTTCACAGCACTCAGGTCACAAGTATAGTTCTACCCTCGTCTCTGGCTGCAGGTAGCGACGCGCTGGGAGGAGATGTTATAGGTCAGTTTTTCACAGCACTCAGGTCACGAGTATAGTTCTACCCTCGTCTCTGGCCGCAGGTAGCGACGCGTTGGTACCGCGCGCCTGAGCTGCTGTACGGGGCACGGCAGTACACGGAGGGCGTCGACATCTGGGCGGCGGGTTGTATCTTCGGGGAACTCATCAACAAGTCGCCTATTTTTCCAGTAACTCGTTTACCTGCACAGAATAAACACATGCTAACACGTATCCATCAGGACAATTTAAAACAATGAGAAATTCCAAACGCAGTTAAACATGCTAACACATATCCATCACAATAATTGTTAACAATGAGAAATTCCGACCGCAGTTAAAACCTAGCCCAGCCGCTCTTATGCCCAGCTACAATACACAGAGCCAGTTCATAATAGTAAAGTAGTGGAAATAGCATGGAAATTTGTTTTCTTTTTTGAAGCAGGCTATCATCAACAGCCTTGATATAACAGAAGCATAGTTAAATGTATTATTCTTACGTTTCATTGCAACAAATCTCCAACTCCTCAAAGTTTTGACAATGAAAATTTAAATTCTGAGATGCTTTATTGACACAAAAATTGTTGTTAATGATCAGGGTGACAGTGACATCAACCAGCTGTTCGTAGTGCTGCAGGTGCTAGGCACGCCATCTGAAGCCAACTGGCCAGGTCTTTCCCAGCTGCCTGACTACAAGAAGATTACTTTCCCTGAGGCCAAACCTGTGCCACTAGAGAAGGTAAACAAGCATGTCAACTAAAAATACCTTTTCAACATTCAATAATTGCTTCTCCCAAAAATTCTTAACGCTGCATTATCATTTCTGAAATTTATAATTTTCGACCATTCTTAACGCGTTTTTTTTAACTTGGTGCATCTTGCATCATGTTTACAAGAAAGAATATTGCACTGGCATGTAGATTGCATCCAACAGCAGTAAAGACCGACAGTTCCTCATAACATAAGAAGCGTGATTCTGATGCCAGATTAGCTAAAAAAATTAAATACGCTTTGATACAGTGAAAAAATGTAAACTTCGATAGCAATATTTCAATATCATCTCGTTTTTACATAGAGTGCAATCAATATTACACATTCTACAATAAGCTTTAGGAAAACATTGATGTTGCTCTCTTGAATAGTTTGTATAATATAAACAATTTTGTGATTGCTTTCACAAATATTTTTGTTTAATATAAATAACTGTGCGATTTAACGAATATTTGTGTTTAATATAAACAACTGTGCGATTGTTTTCACGAATATTTTTGTTTAATATAAACAACTGTGCGATTGTTTTCGCGAATATTTTTGTTTAATATAAATAACTGTGCGATTTCACGAATACTTGTGTTTAATATAAACAACTGTGCGATTGCTTTCACGAATAATTGTGTATAATATAAACAACTGTGCGATTGCTTTCGCGAATACTTGTGTTTAATATAAACAACTGTGCGATTGCTTTCGCGAATACTTGTGTTTAACATAAAGAATTATGTGATAAGGTTCTACCCGACGCGTCTTCCGTAGCGCTGGATCTACTGAAGCGGCTTCTAGTCTACCACGCCGCACACAGGCTCTCTGCACAGCGGGTATGGTAGTGTGTCATGAAAACAATGTTCATGTGAACTTCGTGACATGAATATGATATAGTAAACGATATTATTAGAATGATGTACAGCTGCAAGGTATAGAAAAAATGCTATCGCAGATGATATGGATATAGCACATTGTATATAGCAGTATGGTAATTATCTGCAGTAATGGAAAAAAATATCATCCACACAAGGCTTTCAAATTCGGGTGAAGACATAAGGCATAAACTTCAATATCAGATAACGGACTGTTTCAGACATGCATGTAATTGTGAAAAATTTCACAGGCACTTCAACATGAGTACTTCTGGACGGCGCCCTTGCCGGCGCCATTGTCGGAAATGCCCCGGCCTCACCCGGACAAACTACCACCCCCCGCCTCCCGAGAGTACCCAACCCACCTTGATTGGCATGCCATGATGAGACCTGCCCACCAACTGCTAGCCACACTACAGCCCTAGCAGCACACTGCACTGGCATGCCATGGTTCGGCCTGCACACCAACAGCTCACCAATCTATCGCCCCCACCTACACATGATCATAGCTGAAATTCTTTACATGAATGTCCAATTCATGCAATATATACAGGGCGACAAATGAAGCACTCGTTTCAAATTTATCAACAAAATCACAATCTAAATAGTAGATATTTTAAATAAATTAGAACAAAAAGAATGATCAGAGCACCAACATGAAAGAAACCACCACATACCAAAGCAGCTTCTTCACGTGTGACGGATCCAAGACCAGAAGCATCCAGGCCACCAAACTGTCAAAACGTAGCAGCGATAGTCTCGATTCACTGGGGATACAGCATCTCCTCGATGTTAAGTCGAGTGTTTTCTTCCATAGAGTCTTTCAGAGATGCGTAAGTAGATCGAGCTAAGTTTTGCCAGAACTTAGTACCAGAAATCATGAGCTCGCCGTAAAGATAAATGCCCATTGCCTGCGCCTCGACAAGAAACTTCTTGACGCATGCTGCACCCGGCCTGTGGTCATGTTTTATGATGAGCTCGCACCAAGCGTGACATACTTCACAGTTTTGATGGGATAAGTTGTAAGTTTGATCAATAGAAAGCATTGTCGTTTTACACAAACGCTGCTCAGTTTCCAAAAGATATTCACAAAATAGTTGTAGATGTTCGGGATAGACTAACTGCTCTAGTTCAGGGATACTTTGGTGGTTTTTTATAGTCTTCGGTTTGCGGTTGAAATTGAGCCAAAATTCACAGTGAGCTTTCGAAAGGGGGTTCTCAAATTGTCCGAAAGTTTGCTTGAGCTCATCATTGATTCCAGGTTTTTGAAGCCAGTCAGAAAGTAATTTGCTCTTTGACTCGGAGATATTTGGGAAAAAACTGAAAAAGTGATCAGCGAATTTATCAGAGGTGACGAGGTGGCCACTAAATTTTGAAACATAGTTTTTTATGAAAATCTTAAAGTTACTATCTCCAACTTTATCACACAAATTCCTCAATAAGAAAAATCCTTTGAGATAGTGCACGTTCAGGAAAGGCTTATCGCGCTGGAGCCCATTAAGTACGTAATTTGTACTTTCAACAGAGCCACCTGCATTAGGCTGCAGAGTCTGTAAACTCTCTTCACTGACTTCTATTTCTTGTACTAATTTGCGATAACGGAGATAAATTCGTATTTCCTTCAGTTCCAGTATTGTATCAGCGCTACATGAAGCTATAGTATTTTTCCATGAAGAGGAATCCAAATTGGGGCGGGTCAGCCTGATGTCTTCACCGGCCGAATTTTGAATTTTCAAACGCTTGTGAACATGTGAATCTGAAAGAATTAATTCAAAATTGTTGAAACTTGCAGTAGAATTAGAATCACTCATCGTTACTTTATCACGGAGGTGAATGATAGCATTAGATTCAGATCGGCCTTTCTCAAAAGGGAAATTTGAATTGCATGTTGGTTCTTCATGTAAGCGCGAGTGTGTAATTTGAGAAAGAGTCTTGCAAGTTTCACCTGTGAATGCAAGATTTTCATCACACTGTTCCAACATTCTGTTTCCTGATAACAATGAAATTTGAAAAGATCTGTAGGCTTTCTCATAAATGAGTTCTTCAGCCATTGTTGCAAATCCTTCACTCAACCATTCCTCGGTCCAGTCTTCAGCACCAATGATGATCCCGAACCATGCATGACTGGAAAAAAAATCTAGCTTAATTATCTGGAAATAGGATGAAATTTTTAGAAAAATATCAATCAACACAATACCTATCTACTTCCTTTCCCAACTTTTTCACAAATATTCAGGGATCATTTTTTGAAGAACAAAATGCAGACTACAAAAATTTTCAAATTCAACATATTACAACAATGAAATAGATGCATAAATGCACAAACTGTAAGGAAATATACAGGGAGGTATCAGTACAAAAAAGAGTAGCTTCTTGATAATTTATTTTGCATATAATAGAAAAACATTCAGCAACAATAAGATATTTTTGACATCACGAGGTAATATATATAGATGAAGAGCTCACCTTATCTCATGAGCTATCCTCAAGAACATGGAAGAATCAGCTGCAGTGGCAATACATTGAGCAAGAAATATTAGATTGGGTGATGCCAGTCCTAGTGAAGCATAGCTTTGAGGCAGAACTACTATCTCAAGGCGGGGACATGGATGAGGACCAAGCAGCTCTTCTGCAGCAGCAAGGCAATGTGGTAGGAACTGCCTGAGAGGCTCCAAACGATGGCTCAAAGATGTTGGATACACCAAAGAAGATGGAAGATTTCCAACAGATCCACTAGGTTTGGAAGTACTCTCCGAGGAACGTTTGCCACTCACAGGGACGGAAGACTGAAGTTCATTGTTATGAAGTACATCGTTGATATCAAGTCCAGGCACTGGCAGTTTCATGGGGTGACTTGTATCCTTGTTATTCACAAATTCAGAGTTAAAAGCATGGGTTCCACCATGTAAACAAGATTCAGTTATATCTTCAGGGTAACAGTTGGGCAACATTTTTCTTTCAGCTTCTTTCTGTGATATTTTTGCACAATTTAATGTTTCTACAGACCAAACTCCAACCGCAATGGCCATAGTGGCAAGAGGCAAAGAGAGTGAACAATAAAAATACAAACATTTCTTTGGTTTTGTATCCTTACAATTACTCATAAAATTATTGGAAAATGGTTCTGTATTAAATAATCTGAGAAGATCTGTGTCTATTGGTATGTCAACTGCACTTCCATCACTGCTCATTGAAACAGAATATTTGTCTTCAACAACAACAAATGCTTCCCATGTAGCAAGAGCACTTGGGGTATCCTGGTATGGAAGTAAAGAGCGATTGTTGATTGCAGAACCGCATGTGAAGAAACAAGGATTGCCTTGCTCATCTTCTCTCCAGGATATTGAAACACCAGCATTTGAGGTGACATACTCAATGCAGATAAGAAATGGAGATTTTCTAGGACATTTGAAATGAATGAACCAAGTTGTCTCTTCAAATTCAATATAATTTCTACCAGATGCAAAGAAATGCTTAGTCAAAACAGGATTGTTCCTTACAATAGCTGGATTCCAGTAAGATAAAAGGTCCTTTTCATCACATAATACTAAAGAAATAGATTTGATGGAAATATTGTTCATATCCAAAACCCCATGAGCCATATTATCTTCAACAGAGTCTGCCAATCTTTTGGGTAGCAAACCAGGTTGTTCCATGGGTTCACAAGCAATGGGTAATGTACATAGGATGAACAGCTTTGCAGAAATGGTTTTGGTATCAAAGTCAGGCTGCATACACAATATGTAGTGACTTGCTTTGATGTCACTTGAGTTTGATGAGAGTGGAAGATGGTTCTCTAGCAATGAACTCATTTTAGAGTGAATTATGGGCAGTTCAATTTGAGAATTTTGAGTTGCTTTTCTTTTAAATTGCTTGATGAAATTGATTTGTTTTCCACCATTTTCTGCTCTAAATGATACTGTGAAACTTTCAATAATCAATAATAATTACCAAGATTTATATTTTGCTCACAAAAAGGTAATTTTTCAGATTTCCACAATATCTAGGAAAGCTCACACAAATTTTTACTCCACTGCAACATTACAGTGGTATTGGCAATGACAGCCATAGAGGTTAATAGTCTAGCAGCATCATTAATTCAGAGGGCTCTTTTACCACATGAAATACTGGCAAGTTTCTAAACTTTTGTGAAATCCATGCTCAAATGTGGTAATAATTTTATTTTCAAACTATTAAGTCCATGATAACTTTTATTGCTAGACAATACTGGAATTGAAAAAATTCAACAACTACAGTACAGTTTGCATTTTACAAAAATCTGCAAGAGACATGATAATTAATATAGGGTTAAATGATAGGGCAAGATATGGCCATAACCTCTGCTGCAATAATCTGTCCCCTTTGCTGTGGTAGGGTGTGAGGGCGACTTCTGAACATCTTCTCTTTTAGATGTCCCCAAAGAAAGAAATCGCAAATGCAATTTAGGTGACCTTGCAGGCCACTGTAAATCACCCCTCAAAGTCTGGGAACATGCATTTCAAAACATGGAGTGACATTCGGGCTGTGTGAGCTGTAGCCCCATCAGCCAATCCTGCTGGAACCACATGTCTCCCAATGTTTCATTTTCAACAATGTTTTCCATCCTGGACTGCAAGAAATTTTGCAACATTGCAGCATAGCACTCGGAATTCACTGTCATGGTTACTCCCTCCTCTGAGAATAACTCCAACAGTGTGTTGCAGCTAACGGCCCCCATCTTCCAGAAATTGTTTTCAAAACATAAGTATTCCAAATGGTATGCTATGCTAACCTCTGGGAAAATAAACTTTTTGTCTCAAAACTGCTCAATCAGAATCAATTCTGCCCCACCCTGTATATTGAGAGGTTGAGATTGTATTGACCTTTTAGGCAATTAGAAAGATTTCCCACCCTAATACGAGTATTCTAATTAAAATATTTAATTTCAATCTTTGAATATGTGAATTTAAAACTAGAAACGAAACAATTACAATTATAAAACTATACATAAAATAAATAAATGCAGTGAATGGAAATAAAATGTTTGAATTGTGCACATAGAGACATAGTTAACTATTTCAAACAGTGTTAGCTTTTTTCAAAACTCCAGTCTTGTTTCAAGTTGTTTGAGGTTTGTTTGGTTATCGTTCCGTACTTCCATTTATGTTTAGTATTGGTTTATTTATTGGTCTGAATTAAATGGGAACAGTGCAGTCAGTCACTCAGTCACTACTAGTTGGTGTCAATGGTTTGTATAGAGGGTAGAGTCTGTCAGTCTGGTAGATTCATAGGACATAAAATTAGTAGATCTATTTATAGTGCTGTGCACTGTGCTATTAGCTACCTATCTGTTGTGGGACTCTTCAATGTTTAGAAGATCTGATTTCCTGGAGTGTTTTTGTATATTGAAGGTTGAAGCCAGTTAAATGGTCAATATCTAGCTCATTACCTTGCTCCATACAAACTTTACAAAGCTAATTAATAGACTTATCAATAATTGTTTGTACCCAAAAATCCCAAGCCCAAGGTAGTAAACACCACCTTGGCCTGTTGGCCATTATTGAAGCCTTGAAGGCAATGATTGCCCATTTTAGCCATCCATTATCCATAATCCATTATGATCCATATACCTACTGTTATTGTTAGTAGACTAATTGCAACATAAAAAATAAAGTTTAAAAAAAATGAAAAAGCTGAAAAAATAAAATAAAAAAATTATGAAAAAATAAAAAAAAATCATTGATTCATTATTTTTTTAAATCAGGATTTAGGGTGTTCAGGAGTTAAACTTCACTTTAGCTGGTTCTGGTTGTACCATTACCATGGCATCTGCCGGCTCAACGCCTCAGAGCGGGACAGAACGGCATTCTCAAAGTTCGAGAAAGATAGTTGCCTTCTAGAAAGATGATGTAGCAGCCGGCCGAAGCAGGCTACTATCACGGGTGCAGGGGAGCTCAGCACAAGGAACCTCTTGCCTCAGCGGTCAGAACAGAACTCTACAGGCTCAACCCTTCAATTTGTGCAAGGGAGCGCAGCCGTGGGTAACAAAATTGACTCGTAAACAGGCCCTGGCTGGGCCTAACGCCAACCATGAACCATCAGTATGCAATATCTACACATAGCCTCAGACCAATGAGCTGTGGGTAACTCCGGCTAACAGTAAATCCGCTTTGCACGACACAGCCACTGCTCCACAGTCCACAGCGCAACAGGCCCTACCGCAACAGGCGACGCATGTAAGGTTAGGTTACGACTTACGTTAGGTCCGTTAGGACTACTTAGGAGTAGCTGTTGTGGTAGCCACTGGTAGGGCCTGTTGCACCCTGGCCAGTTGTGCTCCAACCTGTTCAGACTGAACGTCACTGTTGTGGTGAGCGCTTCGTGTCAAAAGGCTAAGCCGTGAAGATGCCCGGCTGCGTTACGCTCGGGAAGGTATATGAATCGCACTGTGGACTTGGGCTATGCTGACCTCTGGTTATCTTCTCTTCTTTCTTTGGGTATTATTGCAGATTAACTACATCCAAAAAAAAGGGTGTTTTTTTTTAATTATATGTTTTTTGGGGTGTAGATTACGAATCTGAAATCCATTTTTGGCGGTCGGCATCGGAAAACCGATTAAAAAAATCGGTTTTCCGATGCCGACCGCCAAAAATGGATTTCAGATTCGTAATCTACACCCCAAAAAACATATAATTAAAAAAAAAAAACACCCTTTTTTTTGGATGTAGTTAATCTGCAATAATACCTTTCTTTGCAGGGTGTCCACTTGGAGTGGACTTAAAGCCGCAGGTCTGCCAGATGGATGACCGTTGGGCCTGAGAGTTTATAGCTTGGGGTTTTCAGCTTCTTTGTATATGAAGTTAATTGCTGCCATTTAGTGAGGTTGACTGATGTAAGCTCAGTGCAGGATTGGGTAGAAGTTTACAGGGAACATATATTAGTAAATGAAATGAGTTACTGCTAATGTAATTTAGATAAGTAAGGGCTGCTAATATAACAGCCTTTATTAAACAAAAAAAAAATAATAATAATAATAACAATAATAATAGAAATATATACATAATTATAATATTATTGAAAAAAATACCTAGATGATCTACTTGCTAAATTAAAACATATATCAGCAGTAGCCGTGCATTAACAATTCTATCATGCTTCCATATATACTGCTCTGCAAGGCGCCTCTGGTTATCGCCCTCGTGCAAAACGTAATCAGACGGTCAGTTACTTTAATTTCCTTTTTTCGTCAAAGTCCGGATGTACCTTATATATAACTGAAAATGGTGAAAGTCCTCAAAAATATTAGTTTTGAAAATTATAGTTTGAATTGAAGTGATGTATTGGCAGGCGGCGGATTTTGTAAGTTAATGTTTAATAAAGAATAATAGTAACCGGCCACCACCCTGGACTTTCAACCGTTCAACGAAGCCGCCAAAATATAAAAAAGTTTATAGAACGTGGTGTCAATCAAGAGTTTTTCACACCTAAAATATCAATTGTAATTGCGCAGTCAGAACGATCACAATGAAGTAAAAAGAGTATAACCAGTATATTTACATATCAAAGTTTTGAAGAATTTATAGTCATTACAATCATATCTGCCTCTGCAGCTGCTTCTGCTACAGGACCTTACATTTCAGCAGGTCTTTATCGGCCCTTAATCCCAAATTTCCTTTAATTAACTTTACTTCATCGACATGAGCAACCTCGAGTGCCTCTGCCCTGTTTGGTGTATTGGTTGCAGTTGCTTTGGACTGCCTGACACAGGACACTTTACTTTTCAGGTTCGAGGTGCAGTTGCCAATCCGTCGCCAATATTGTAAACTTCCTTAGCAATTTTGAAGGGTCACACTAGCATCTGACTCGTCGACCTTCTTATCGTCTGCAAAAAATTGACAGGAATTTGAACTTAACGAGGCACGCACTTGTAATGCAGGACAAAACATGCCAACGAAAACGTTTATAGAGAGATGCCTGTTCGTTAGAACGCCTGCTGATGTTGACTGATCAATCCCGAGCCTAGTTATTCCTTTTGATGTCATACAAGGAAAGCTTTCTTCGTTGCAGTGTGAAACATTAGGACTGGATGACCATCGCTTGCATGGTAGATATCAATGTTTCAGCCTTTTCAGGATAGTTGGAGTCGCCAGGTAGCGGTAACTTATGCGGTTGTCTTCTCTGACAGCGCTCAACCCAAGCTTCAAGTTCCTGTTGTCTGCGCTACGAAGGCTCCTATAACTGAACACGATAGTCAAAATCTCTTTTCGTCTCGGCCGACAGTCAACAGCGCACATTCACCTAAGAAGCTTTGCTAATATCCGTACGGCAGACCCAGCTTGCTTGTGAGGAACAGACAAAGTTTTACTTTTGTGTACCAGATTTAGGGAAGCATCATAAACCTGAAGCGAGACCTCACTCTCCTCAACCTTGAACATGGACTGCAGATGTGTAACTTCGATTATCAAAACAAATATATATATTTCGCAGCTCTAGAAGTGCCACCAACTCCGATCGTTTATTCAACGAACTAGCTTCATTTGCCAAGAAGCACTCAAAGGAGTGTGCTGCCCTAAGCTTTTCAAACATGATGTTTGGCATGAGACGAGGCTGTTGTCCCCATAGTGACTTATCAGCCGCCACTAGGACAAAATATCTTCTCATACAAAGCGCGCTTCTTGTCCAAATCTGCTTAATTCATTAGGATTAACAGTTTCTTCTCAATTCATTAGGATTACCAATTTACAATTTCGGTACGATCGAAGTTCAAATGAAGAATACGTCGCAAAAAATACAGTTGCAAGTTGATCTTGACAGGCTGGTTGACTGGGCTGATAAGTGGCAGCTGCGTTTTAACGCTGACAAAAATCAATCGTCAGCTATGGAAAGATCGGGTTCCAAAGGCCGGATCCCTTGTGAATCAAGTCACGAAAAGTTCAAGAATCGGCAACAGGCCATGGGCCTATTTCTTCAGCGCCGACACTTCTATTCTATTCTAAATGTAAGAATATGAATCAAGGAAACTGATAGTCTCAATAGCTTACCTGAACTTTTATTATATACAAAATGAGTTACAAAATATACGGTGTTTTGGCGAGTAACAGACACACCATCAAAGCTGTTGCTGATTGACCAACACACCAGCGTGACGCATGACGGTGACACTGAGAGGTTGGACTGAGGACAGAGCTCAGCTTACTTAGATCGTGTGCACCTTAATTTCAAGTCTATCCATATTAATGTAAATACTTTACAAAATCAAATTAGATCAAGGCAAGAACATTACGATATTATGACCCTCAGGCCTTAAATCAAGAATCTTTATAAAGGACTGGAGACAGAGACAATAGCACGTAATCGCCCCTTCCTCCTGCCACTCCTCCGGTGCCACTCGTCATCACCACGCTGCGCTACGATATACTCTATGATAAATATAGGATCTATCACATTACAGGGAACATAGGGCGACTTTCACGCAGCTACGGCTCGACTAAGAGATCGGCTAGAATTATAATATCATTATAATATAATCATAATTATGATCGAGAACACAAACTCCGTATTAGACACACGATTTCTTCACTCACTCACACTCGCCAAATATTCTAGTTTGCTACTCGATGCAGGGAGATAACTAATTTTAGGCACATTAATGCTATTCAAAGCCAAATGCGATTGTGTACACGTAATTCAGAGTGAAAGATCACGTTAGGATAGTCAAGTGGGCACAAAATGCATTCATCGAACAAGGAACACGACCGCGTCGCGGGACAATTATTTCTGAGTATGTGGTAGAACAGTACTTGTAAAGAGCCTCTCACTACACGAGATTTAATATATTTCATTAAATTAAACGTACAGGTTTCAAGTGGGATAACCTTTGATTGGGTAGAGAGACATCTTACAGTAGGATACAGCCACGGACGCAACACAAGTGTTCAACAGTATTCCAATTCCTAAACTACTGCTACGTGAACATTCCAGTCAGAATAACTGGTCTGGAATTGAACTGGTGCTGCTGCCTACTGAACCTTAACCTCTCCATTCACCGCTACCGTTAAAAAAATTTATGAGGTGCATACTCATAACGGGAAACATTAAACTTTTAAGTAATTGAATTAGTCAAGAATTTGAGCTCAATTTAAGTGAACTGAGCGCTGTTCAAAACATGCTTCATTTTGTTTCTTACAGCATTTTTAGAGGTCGTTATTAAGAATTTTCGTTTATTTTTTTATGGCATACAAAATACTAGAAAATAATCAGTTGTATAAATACGAGTCTCAACAAAATATGTAAATAATGGAGTGAATACACGTAGTTCGATATCCAATTAATTCGAGAAGCTTGTATGGTCAAAAAGCGTCAATATAAGTAATTTAGTCTTTACATATTGAAGAACAGAACCTAAGAGTTGTTGTCATGACGAGCTATCAATTACATAAATGAATCGAACAAATTATTTGAAATAAGTGAATAACAAGGTTCGGAAATCCTGATGCCCCAAGCCCCGTCCAAGCGGTGCTTGGTGATCAACCGATCTCTCAGTCTAACAAGGAGGACGTTAATAATTTAACAAATATTACTAACAGCAGTGAAGCTGCAGAATGCATTCAATAAAATGAATCTTTTAATTAACTCAACAACAGCAGCAACGCAGAAAGAAGTGCGAGGAGTCAGTGAACGTAGAAACCGTTTAAACAGTTCACTATGAAATAAAATATTCGTAGAATATTAAATTATAAATTTCTCGAGAATATTAAACAATGAACGTTTAATTTACCTAACAAAAAACTCGTGGGGGTGTGGCGTCGTCATGAACGTAAAATCCCGCAGCTCGAGCCTAGCGAATTAAATGAGATACGCCCGTGCCAGGTATAGAAATCGTTCAGTGTTAATGAATGTCAGTGTAAGACAAAATTCACAATTAATTTTGAAATTTTTACATGGGTACAGTGCTTCTATGGAGGATAAATGAGAGCCCTACTGTTGCGCTCCGCCTGAGCCTAGCTGAGTACAGGATTTACAATAAATTCATTTACCCTCTCCCGGAATTCTTCAATAAAACTAATCCATAACTGAAATATCAAGGATATCTTCAATGATCACTAAAGTTTCCACGAATCGTAAGAAATTACAGGACTTCGGCCGGTAGAAACTTGCGCAAAATTTTGTGTGGCAACGAGCGTACATCATACGGCCTGTCACTTGTATAGAAAGTTGTGTTGTCCATAGAGGGTAAACCTGCATCACTTTTCCAGCACCAGCCACTGGACCGCAAGCCAAAACGAGTCAAAAATATAAAGAGAAAAACAAAATCCACGCTTACAAGAACACGTACTGTTACGAACGACCGATAGTCGATACCTTTTTTCGTATATTTTCCATGGTATCCAGATTAACGAGCAGGCTGCACACGTAACGAACTCCTACTATAACATACTACGTACCTACCGAGAGTCTAGTCTATTTAATCGTAAGATGCAGTAGAAAAGACGTATACTTCGATAGGCGTGAGTGAACAGTGGAATAGGAAGGATGTTTGCTACGAATAATGAAGCTCTGTACTATAAAACACGCGGGCGTTATTAGTAACACCATAACACATTGGTCGAAGCTTTCGAATCAGTGGAAAAGAGGTTAATTCTCAAAAAAATATATAAATAATCAATTGGAAATCATTAATATCCACCAGTAAGAACAATAAGCAGCGCCTCAGAGGATTAGTAGCGGTCAGATAGGTTTTTAAAGTTAAGCCCCAGCGCTGCTTCTACCCTGGCTCATGAACCAAGTGGAGGAAGAGTATTCAGAATTTAACTATTTTTTCCTGGATAAATTAATTCGAAGTCACTTTCAAAAATGATGTGAAGATACTGAGTAATAATTGCATTTTTGTCAAGGGGGAAAAAAAGAAAAAAAAAACGAGAGAGAACAAGAGGAGAAATAAGGAAAATGTAGGGAAAAAGAACAGCGAGAAGGCGGAAGGCTTCACTCAACAGCTGACGTTCACATGTTCGTGGCTCCGTGCATCAAAGTCGTCCGTGCTACTGGGCAGCTGAGGGCAAAGTCAAACCTACCCTCTGTGGGGCTGTCAACGGGGATGGTGAATAATAGAGCAAGATAAGTAAAATGACATACGTTTGTGAAAAGGGTTATGGAGAGCATCGGGATAGCATAAAATAGGGAGGGGCTGCGAAATGGAGGACGAACCCCAAAGTGGAGGAGGAACCCTAAACTGGAGGAGGAACCCCAAACTGGAGGAGGAACCCCAAACTGGAGGAGGAACCCCAAACTGGAGGAGGAACCCCTAAATGGGAATAATGGGCTGCGAAATCAAGAACGAGGTTCGCGAGAACAACGTCTTAGCATCTGTTTCTGCAGATTCAGTTGCACGACTTTTTCCTGATTAATGAAAGATTTAGAACGCAGGAAAATGAGACATTTTAGGTATAGGAAGAATGGATGGATCGCAATAGTAGGTATTCACGCCAATATATGAATTGAATCTTTCATTTATATGGACCATATATTTCAGGCAAGTGAAATCAAAGAAGGGATATCAGCCGAGTTTCAAGCATGCAAAAATATCTTCCAAAAAATATAATACCTACAAATATTTCAATCAAGAAATATTTTATTGAAAAAATCAATCCATATTAGAAGTGTACAAAGAGGCTGCGGTCTCAGCAGTGGAGAGCCAGGCTCAGGCGCGAGGCTAGGGAGCTGTAGACGACCATCAAAACGCAGCAAATAAAACAAGCTAAAAATATACCTACATTCGTAGCGCAAATGACGGTCAAAACGAACAAAAAACGATCTTTTCCCACTTAAAAACAAAGGGCAATCATTCTTTCGTGAAGAGAACACAAGTTTTACGTATGATGTTACATTTGTCTACCTCCCCATCCACCCCCGATTGCTATGCTATGGGAACCTCCCGCCTAAAATTCCACCGATTCGATTAATTACGGAAATGTAGTGAAGAAGAAGTGACAAAATAATTTACCAGTTTATCAGCATTCTACTAACCGCGTATTTATTTTCTACCACATTTTGTTCTAGGAGACGATGCGTAAATTCGATCAGGTAACACCTTCATGAAAATAGTGAACGTTTTAAACTTTTTCCCCACTGGATTATCTACGAACAGGTTCTAATAAATACGGTGTTTTCTTCTCATTACTCTTATGTACAAAAATCTTAGCGAGTATCACGTTTTATTTACATATACCAAGACTTCCTAGCGCCATATCCTATTTTCTCACGACTTCTATCCTATTTCTTTGCACAAATCTCAGGACATCACCGACGCTATAGCGTGCACATAACGTATCGTCACATCCAACATTCACTGGCGTGAGCAACGTGGATTTAACCAAACAGCATGACACAAATAAGGAATATTAGAAATTCTACTCAATCATTTAATTTGCAATCATGCCAACACTTTTGGGCTGTCACACAAGGAAACTTTCATCCATACAATTACACACGCGATGCCCAACAACACCGCAGCACAACATACTCGTGTTTCGCAGCTCAGATAATTACAGGAGTTTTCATATCCCTATATTTTATAAATATAATATATATCCACACCATATGCGAGTTATAAGCAGCAGTAATGGTAAGCTCAAGCATTCATAAGCAGTCCTAGAAAAGTACAAAAAATAACAATGGCGTGGCAATGCATCAACAGCGACAACAACCAAACGCCTGCAGAAACGAAACCTCCATTATCCGTAGTTCTCACATTTCCTTTTATCATTGTTTACAATTTTATCTCCATGGAAACACAAACAGCGTAAAACACTTCTGATAAAAATGGGTCCGAGTATTTTTCCGCTCCACCTGAGCCTTAAATTGAGGGCCGACCAAACCCAGAGGGCTTGCGGTGCCCTCATGAGAGGTCTCGACGTACATGAAACAAAATTGCGGACACGGAATGGAGACGAAATTGGAAGTCGGAGCTGCGCCGTCCTCAGCAGTTTGAGGTAAACGGATCATTTAAGTCAACAACGTTGTAATGTATATGGCGTCTTGCTCAGAAATATACGGTACTTCTCACGCGCACTTACATCGAACTTTCATTCCTTCATGGCATCAATAAGTTAATATTACAGGTGAGCTAACGTGTAGGCCACGCAACCTACGTTGATATATATGTACAAAAATACGAGCTTGTGAAGTGCTGTACATATGTACACTTCTCACACACATGACTGCTGAGGCACACTTAGATGTGCCACACAACACACACCAACACACTCCTGATCCTGTCCACACATCCACACAGAACATCAAAACATCGCGTCGCCAGTTGGGGGATGGGGAAAAGCAGCAGCAAATAAACATTGAAACAAAGCAGGCGTCCACGGGAGCCTCGCAACTAAACAAACACGAACAGATTAATCCGCCCTCCCCACGGTTCCAAATAAATTAATATTAGCTTAAAACAAAAATAATCACACCAAATGTTTCAACTAAGACGAAAATAACAATATTTCATAAAATATTTAAGCAACATTTTAGTGAGACACCGGACTGAGAGCGGCGACATCACCCGAGCTGCTGAGCGGGCCCGCCACGACGCTGGCTCTCGTCGCCCGGCAGCAGCGGTAGGTGTTCGTTTCCGTCCTGACGTGGCGTCGGCGATGAGGAGGTCCTACGTGCTCCCCCAGCGACGTCCCTCGCCACTGCCGCTCCTCAGGGGCGGCCATATTGGCGTGCAAGCAGTCAGATGTCGTCAGCTGGCGCTTCTCGACGAGAGTTTTGAGGGTAGACGACGCGAGGCGGCGAGACAAAAGCGCGGGGGCGGCTTGCTCCTGCAACTGCATGTGCGCGACGTCAGCAGACGCGCTGGTGACCGTCTTGAGGCGCACCGGTGACGCCTCGCCTTCGTCAGTATTAGTGCGTCGGTCTTGCCATGGGAGGTCGCTAGTGACCCAGCAGGGACCACGTCTGGTGGGGCCAAGACACACGAGCACCGCAGCCATGACCATTACGACCCACCACAGGGCAGGAGGGCGGGAGGAGGAAGGTCCCGAGTTCAGGGCTTCGTTCTTAACTATTTCGTTCTGGCGAATGTCGGGGTACTTCATAGGGTCTGAAACAAAAAAATCAGTTAACAACAAAAGTGAAAGAATTCGTAGTAATTCTTAGGATGAAATCTTTGTTTTACATCAGTAGATAAATCTGAGACCAGATGCATCACTAGGTTTTAAGGATTGAAATGCTAAGACCCTGGTTTTAAGGACAAGGTGGAGGATAATTTATGATCAAATTTGAGAAGTTATTGAATGGTTGTATGATGATTAATTAAAATTATATTCAGGCTACACTACTTTGAATTTGTTGGCTTTTTTTTATGAAAAATAATTATTAAAGTTTTATAAATGAACAATTACACACACAATTATTTCGAGGGCTTAAGAATATTTTAGGGAAAGCCGCCACTGATGGGGACGGATAAATCGGAGCAATAAACTTCAAACAATTGTCTTACTCCCAAAAAACTGCTTTCTTACTCCCAAAAAACTGCCCTAAACTGCCCTCCCAAAACTCCACTGCCCTCTAACTGAGGGCAGTGGAGATGCACTTACGCAATAAGTAACTGAGTGAATGCACTGCAATGCAGTTAAGTCCCATTAATAATTGCAATCGGTTCACTCGTAGTGGTTTTACAGAGTCAGGCTAGAAATAATCACAATGCAACACACAAGGCTAAAAATTCAAGACTAGCTAAGGAATAATATAGAATTTATCATAATTTTAAACGTGGTAATAATGGTTATGTCGACGATCAAGCATAGTAGTCATGAGGGCGCACGATGGTGAGGGTTTGCATAGCCCATTGTTTGTTATATACAAGGTAAGATAATAGCTCAACTATATGTTATTGAATATAAATGTGTAATTCAGGCTGCGAATAGTGAGCTCGAGTGCCTCGAATATGAAGGATTAAATAAATTTAGGTATGTTGAATTACGGGCAGCCGTTGGCAAAGGGTACGTATGTTGAACCCGTTGAACCGTATGCCCATATTCAACATAAATAAAGTATGTTGACTTATGGGCAGCCGTTGGTAACGGGCACGGCAGCGGTAAAGACTGACCGTATTTAGCGGTGGTTGTCTTGACGTAGTACGGATAGTCTTTGTGCACGGCCGCATAGTCAGAGTACTCGTAGGACGAGCCGCTGCCGCCGTAGGGAGACCTGGCGTTATCGTAGGGAGAATTGACGTAGGGGGAGTTGTCGTCACCGTAGGGGGAACCACCCGTCATGCCCCCGCGTTCCCCGCTGTTGTGGTAAGGACGTCGTCGTCGTGGGGAGGTGGGGGAAGACGTCGTGGAGGGAGGGATGAGTGTCGTGGTTGGGGTTACACGACCTGACTTAGAGGGGGAGGGGGAGGTCGTGGTGGGGGCTTTGTGGGTGTCGTTGCTGCCGGCTATGAGGCCGCGGTTGTTCTGGCCTGTAGGGTGCGAACATGGAGAATATTAACATTAGACTCGCTAATATCTTAAATTATATGTAATTTGTACATTATTAATATTTCTGTGCATTTTTATAACAACAAAAACATTACATATATTTTATTAACAATTGCTTAAACTTTACCCATTACATAAATGCAGACCAAAACCTGACTATTGCATGGGTACAGACCACTGCATGGGTACAGACCATTGCACGGGTACAGACCACTGCATGGGTACAGACCACCGCGCGGGGACAGACCACTGCACGGGTACAGACCACTGCACGGGTACAGACCACTGCATAGATACAGACCATAATTAAAAGCACTCACCATTGGAGGGGAGCTGTACGCCGCCCTGGTCTCCCAGGGGCTTGGTCTGCGTGTTGGGGTCGCAGCAGACCTTGAAGACCACCTTCATGTGGTGGCTGCTGCAGCGGCCGCCGATACGGCGCTCTAAATCGTCAGAACTGCTCGTCGCTGCAATGAAAACCGCAATAACGCAATGTAGAACGTTCAAAAACGATAGAACGTAATAAAAAACATTCACAAATGCATAAAATCAATAAAAAACATTCACAAATGCATAAAACCAATAAAAAACGTTCACAAATGCAAGAACGCAATAAAAAACGTTCCCAAATGCAAGAAGGCAATAAAAAACGTTCACATATGCAATAAAAAACGTTCACAAATGCAAGAACCCAATAAAAAACGTTCACAAATGCAAGAACGCAATAAAAAACGTTCACAAATGCAAGAACCCAATAAAAAAACGTTCACATATGCAATAAAAAACGTTCACAAATGCAAGAACGCAATGAAAAACGTACACAATCACATGAACGCAATAAAAACATTCATAAATGCAAAACTAATTTAATATCTCAAAAGTTGAAAACATTGATCGGCACAAGTGACATGACAATGCAAACATTACGTGGAAACACCAAGTTATCAGTTTACTGACGATAGACACGTTAATTTGACACACGATTCAACACATTATATAGATAGAGCCAAATTTGTAGCATGATTTAATACTTTACGTAATAAATGACAATTTGATACATGGTTCAAAACATTATATTCATGGCAGTTTGATAGAACATTTAAGTCATATTATTCATGGTAATTTAATAATATATGATATATAATAGTATAGAGACTCCAAATAACTCACATATGAATTTAAAAGCAATGAAAACGCCAAGAAAATTCACCATATCGATATTGGAAACGAATGATGGACATTTTCAATATAGATATGGTGAATTTTCTTGGCGTTTTCTTTGCTTTCAAATTCCTTGTGAACTTGCGATATAAGCAGATTAATAATATGATGATTCAATAATATGATGATTAATAATATGATGATTAATAATATGATGATTCATAATATGATGATTCACCAAGTACTCACAGATGAAGTAATAGTCAACGCCAGGCCTGAACTCGAGACCGTTGGGCTGGGGTGAGAAGGGTCTGAAGGTGATGGTGACGTACATGAGATCGTAGGGCTTGTTGCAGACGGTGATGACGCGCGGGTGTAGGGTGGTGATGCGACATGTGTCATACTCCTCCTTGCTCACCTGCCTCACAAAAACACGTGTGCTGTTATATATTATATACCTATACTGTCACGTTTTATATTATATATTATGTACAAACTTGTGTTTCATTACAAACATAGAAGGAAAAAATGAAGCGAGTCTCCTGGTTCGTACGTCGAATGTCAAGCCATTTGAATCGCTATACAGCATTCGTGTCGCACCCTGCAATGTAAATGAGCTACTTTATAAAAAAAACTGAACGAATAGTTTCTGGTGATATCAAACCAGCTATGTAGTTATTATAAAGGAAATCAGGGGCCATACTTTCAAAACTCGCTAAGTGAACGTAAGTACCTGCGCTCTTTTTCTTGTCTATGATTCATGGATTTTGTTTGAAAGGCCGACAATGATTGGCTGATGAACTTACGATCTCTTAATTTTTTTTGAAAGTATAGGCCCAGGTCCAACAAATCGTAGTTCTGAGCAGTATCATAAGGATTGTATTGAGGAGCGTCGAGTTAAGTGCAGTTTCAGCTGAGTGAGATTAGTGTGCCATTGACATTAATAATGAGGAATTACTATTGATGCAAACTAATTAGTATCAAGAAATATCAGTAGTGAGTAATTCAGAGCGTCATTTGTACAGTTATTATCATCTGCACACTGAGCGTTAGGAGGAATTAAAGCGAAGGCTATCTCAGGTAAGTTATTCAATGTTACACTTTTTCCTTGCTCGTTTAATAAGGCTAACGTTCTAGCCTCTTTGAAAAATATCGGCGAATTATCGGCATCCACACTACAGTCTGTCGTGTCGAAAACATTGAATTAAAGATTTTTAATTCGTTTTCAGTTTTCGTTCCTTAAACTCCAAACAATCGAGAACGACCCTGGCGACAATTGAATCAGAATGGCTGACGCTCGCGACGCAGTAGACCATAAAAACTTTCAAAGGAAAGTCCAGCAGGAAACGAAAAGAATCAATCGACACTGAAGAACGAAAAGGAAATTAAAGGAGAAAAAAATCAAGCAAAAACACACCTCAAAAAATTATATAGTGAGTATAGAAGTAATTAGCAATTGATTTTTAAAGTTGAATATCAATAATTATCGCGGTTGGAGATAGAAAAATAAATACAAATTTAAATAAGAAAAAAGCTAATAAAAACATTTTTTAAAAGACTTTTCACCAAAAAAAAGTACCAACACCCTACCCTGATTCCATAAATGCTCAGGTCGATGGAAAAAAACACACGAGAGGCAGCTGACAAGAAATTTTAATGAAATTACTCAGCGCTGCCCAGACTGTAATGTATAGTATAGTATCTTCGGCATTAAAGAATAGGCCTGGATAGGCTTGTCGCCGATTCTTGTAGGTACTTTTCTTGACTAGACTGGGCTTTTGATCAGATCTTTTCAACGGACGGTAGATTTAAAATCGCTTCTAGATATGTGGCACAAGGAAGGACCTAAGATTGTGGCGGGAGTGAGCGAGTCGTGAACCCGATGACCTTGCCCCTCCCTGCTCTACATGGCTCTATCTCGCCAGGTTCGTGATGCCCATCTTGCCTGCCGCGAGAAAAGTGCTACATATTTTCAGGTAAAAATTTAAGAGTAGTCAGCTTCTGTAAATTCAATGGATATGTGGCTAAAGAATTTGAGGATATCCTTTGTGAGGGGTTACGTATTGAAAGTGTTGAACTTCGTCCGAAAATCATCTGATGTGTACCCACCCTCATCTGAGGGCTTTTCAACACGGCACATCTTGGCGCGCTTCAACACGGCTCATCTTGGCGTGGTTCAACACGGCGCATCTTGGCGCGGTTCAACACGGCGCATCTTGGCGCGGTTCAACACGGCAGATCTTGGCGCGGTGCAACACGGCACATCTTGGAGCGGTTCAACAGTGCATCTTGGCGCGGTTCAACACGGCACATCTTGGCGCGGTTCAACACGGCACATCTTGGCGCGGTTCAACACGGCGCATCTTGGCGCGGTTCAACACGGCGCATCTTGGCGCGGTTCAACACGGCACATCTTGGCGCGGTTCTACACGGCACATCTTGGCGCGGTTCAACACGGCACATCTTGGCGCGGTTCAACACGGCGCATCTTGGCAAAGTTCAACATGTCACGTTTGTCACATTTCAATATATGGCGCATCTAGGCGTGGTTCAACACGGCACATCTTGGCGCGGTTCAACACGGCACATCTTGGCGCGGTTCAACACGGCACATCTAGGCGCAGTTCAACACGACACATCTTGGCGCGGTTCAACACGGCGCATCTTGGCAAAGTTCAACATGTCACGTTTGTCACATTTCAATATATGGCGCATCTAGGCGTGGTTCAACACGGCACATCTTGGCGCGGTTCAACACGACGCATCTTGGCAAGGTTCAACATGCCACGTTTGCCACATTTCAACATATGGCGCATCTTGGCGTGGTTCAACACGACGCATCTGGGCGTGGTTCAACACAGTGCATCAGGGCATGGCTCAGAAAGCTAGACGTGGGAGAGGATCAAATCTCAGCAGCAGCAGCTGCGTAATGATCGTGGCCCTGCAACGCTGTGATCGCAGTCAGAAACAAGGGTGGGTGGCAGCGCGCGGTGAAGAGTCAAGGCTGACACTCATACAAAGGCCCTTCCCAATTCCCTTCCCAAAGGCCCTTCCCAATTCCCTTCCCAAAGGCCCTTCCCAATTCCCGATCTCTCGCACCCTCCCACTGCCTGCATCCTCTCGCAACTTTCCCCTCCGCCATGCCCTTACTTCCCTCTCATTTTAACTAAAAATTTCCTCTCATTTAAACTAAAAATTTTTAGTTAACTTGCGATTTAAGCAAATAAGTGACATCAATTCCTCTCATTTTATTTTACCTAACAGGTTCGTCACTATTCTTATCGCAAGGTTTCAACTGAGTTAAATAATTCTACAATTAGTGACCGTACTCACGTTGTAAATAATGTATTTTTCGGTGTCTCGGTCGTCAGTGCTCTTGTCGTACGTCGGGCAGATGATGTTCACTTGGTCGTAGTCGAAAGGGAAGTTGTTCTTGTTGACATCGATGATGTGATCCGTATTGTCGATGCGGAATCTGAAAAATATGAGCGTAAATTAGAAGAAAAATTTGATGACAATTCAAAAAAACGAGCAGAGTAAGAATATTTTCCTATGAAACAGATGAACCAATAAGTGAAATAAATTACGGCTAACCAGAAAAAAGTCCTCACAATTAGAATTAACAACGAAAATAACTACATAACTTAAATAATGTCGGATTCTTTTTGCGAAGAGGACGCATTGGAATATGAATTAAGAATCCACGTACAAATTCGCCTTAACGCCTTTTTTAGCAGAGTTCGGAACTTATAAATGCAGCCAAGGCTACGGTATTCAAATAGCGTTCTGGGCAGCCTGACCCATAATGGTGCGTAACTTATGAATGTAATGAGAGGCACGAGCCCGTGCACAAAATCCACATGCATAAAGAAAGAACAATTCCGTAAACTTCATATTAAAATACACAGGCCAAGGCTAGCAGCGATCGAGAGATTGCCCCGGCGGCCAGTGATCGGAAAATGCAACCCTAAACCGTCGACAACTCGAGTCTGTGTCGAGTCAAAGGCGAGGGTCGCCTTCCCTCCTTTCCCCTCTCTCCTTCCTCTCGAGGGTACACGAGATATCAATTAAAATGGAGAAATCGTGACCTTGTATTACAGTGGCATAATGGTAATCGTGCGTAATTACGCATGCGTGACCCCCATGGGTATACTTCTTGCCATGAATACACGTACGTTTCTTGTGCGGCTTCCAAATTGTAGAGAAAGTGCGTCGCGATAGAGGATTAGTTCTACGCACAACGCAGATACAATCTTGTTAGAACTTCTTACTTCATTATTACGATCATATTCCGTGGATACAAGCAAATTCATGGCTTATATAGTGATGAAAAATGACAAATGAGACAGGACCTTACGAATGAAAAATGCTCAGAGGAGACGTTCGAAGCAATTTTTCACGTTACATTTCTTGTTGAAATTTGTAGTAAAAGTTAAAATAAATTACCTTATTTTGCAATGTTTCATTGACAGATAAACGAGTACATTGAGAAATGTCTGCTCCATGCCAAATATTTCATTAACTTTAATAATAATTATGACATATTAGGTAAAAAGTAAATAATGGTCTGAGTTAATGAATTTGAAAAAAAAAACGTTTATAAAATTTGTTACTTAATCAAGACGGAAAATAGAGAACATGTGACACTTCAATGAGACAGGGTCATCGATCTTATCAAATTATAGATCGGCTTTGGATTTGAGGGCTCACTATTACACGCTAATAAAACATATGTACATATAGTTTAGCTACTAGCTGAAATCAATCACATCAATTTGCTTACATCCACAATCTATTGTTACCATTACTAAATAGAAATAAATTATTAAATACTTAAAATACATTGACCTTTTGTAGATTGAATCCCGGAATAAAATTAATGTCCGACCACAAGCGCTACACTCAATGATGCAAGAGCACTCAAGGGACGACAGATTGGCTTCATCACAGGAGGTGTGGTGACATTATATGGCCCTACATCTACACGCGCATTATGCATCACCCTTGATTACTTCTAGGATGACGCATCTTCTCATGCACGAGCATCACACGACACTGCAAACACAGCAGTGTATGTATACACGATGCATGTCACCGTATACATGATACACAGCAGTGTATACATCATACATGACACTATATACAGGGCGCTGTATACACGATGCTCGGCGCTGTATACATGATGCATGACACTGTATTGTGGTAAAATCCGTATCAACAACACACGCAAATTTTTCGGCAAAAAGCTTGCAATAATTAAAAATTTGAATCGAGTTAAATCGGATGGTCTCGCCATTAATCGACTCGCGTTACGAATTAAATGTAGTCAAATTGAATAGACCTAATATAGACATTTATAGCCAATTTTTGACTGCGATTGTTACATTTCAATGGACGAAATTGCATAGTAGCTCCAAAATAAAGAACCGTTTTCTATCAACTTGCCCTCAAGAATGAGTTCACAATGTCTAAAAAGAAGTTACAGAGAAATACATTGTAGAGTATTATGCATTAAATTCACGAGACGGGAGTGGCTCAGCATAGAAAATAAATGTCACTCGGTCTCTGCAGGGAATATTTTCGTGAAAAGCTGCAAATATTTAGCAAGAAGATCCGCAAGGATCCAGCGAAATACTTTACTGATCGCACTCTCGAACATAGCGCTCTTATCCCCCGAAAAGGTTACAAGAAAACCTTTTTCAGCAGCGCTCAGACATAATGAGAAAAGGTCACCAGTTTTTCGAGGCAAAAGATTTAGGATCACAGCTGCGAGTGAAATGAACGCTCGGCTCCAGCACCTGACCTTTCTTGCATCAGCGCTCAGGATAAATTCGAGCAGGTCGACGCGAGATTTTTACACGCACTCACAGTGAGGGTAGAAACGGGGGGGAGAAGGGGGGGGGAGACCTGACTGTGAGGGTAGAGACAGGGGGGAGGAGGGGGGAGCTCTGACAGTGAGGGTAGAGACAGGGGGGGGGAGGGGGGGAGTTCTGACAGAGAGGGTAGGGACACTGAGGGTAAGAGACGCTGAGGGGAGGAGAGTTCTGACAGAGAGGGTAGGGACACTGAGGGGCAGAGGGAGGATAGCTCTGACAGTGAGGGTAAAGACACTGAGGGGGAGGGCTCATAATAATAATAATATTAATGTAATTTTTATAATAATATTATCACAGCTATTATGCTGACTGTTCTTAGCATGTTTTGCTTTGAGCTTCGTGGTTTCTAAATCTAAAGGTAAAATGTTTCATTCACTCAAATGACGACGAAATTTTCATCTTAAACACCATGATAAACAATACTTTTCAAGCATGTTATCACTAGACCGTAGCTCACTCAACACTTTCTTCTAAACAACAAAAAATTGTGGAAGTGTAATGAACTCCATTTATGAAATTTCATATTTCGATGCTGCACAATCAATTATTAACAGTAATTGCTTTTTATTCAGATGCTGCATATTAAATTATTCACAGTAATTGCTGTTCATCCCACCACAGCGTCTGACGAGGTGCAGTATGGCACACGAAGGCGTGACGTCGGCGAAGCAACGGTTCTCAGGAGCGCACAATCGCAGCGCAGGACAAAGGCAAGGCACGGCGACCTGCCGAGCGTTTTTACCGAAGCTGAAAAAAAAACGCGCGGCGATAAGCCGTGACCTGCGCAGCGAAATGTTGCAGTGCGGTGACCTCGCATGCAGAACGTCCAGGGCTGGTCAACTGGCGAGGGAAGGAAGGGTTCTCACGATATGAGTAAAGCATGAGTGAAGCGAGGTGAGGGCATGAGTAAAAAGAGCTGAGGGTATGAGTAAAACGAGGTGAGGGCATGAGTAAAGCGAGAGGAGGGCTCAATTAAAGCTTCGCATGAGCGAAGCGAGGTGAGGGCATGAGTAAAGCGAGGGCAGGGCATGAGTAAAGCGAGCTCACGGCATGAGTAAAGCGAAGTGAGGGCTCGATTAAAGCGAGCTGAGGGCATGAGCGAAGTGAGGTGAGGGCATGAGTAAAGCGAGCTGAGGGTATGAGTAAAGCGAGGTGAGGGCATGAGTAAAAAGAGCTGAGGGTATGAGTAAAACGAGGTGAGGGCATGAGTAAAGCGAGAAGAGGGCATGAGTAAAGCGAGGTGAGGGCATGAGTAAAGCGAGAAGAGGGCATGAGTAAAGCGAGGTGAGGGCATGAGTAAAGCGAGGTGAGGGCATGAGTAAAGCGAGGTGAGGGCATGAGTAAAGCGAAGTGAGGGCATGAGTAAAGCGAGGTGAGGGCATGAGTAAAGCGAAGTGAGGGCATGAGTAAAGCGAAGTGAGGGCATGAGTAAAGCGAAGTGAGGGCATGAGTAAAGCGAAGTGAGGGCATGAGTAAAGCGAAGTGAGGGCATGAGTAAAGCGAAGTGAGGGCATGAGTAAAGCGAAGTGAGGGCATGAGTAGAGCGAGGCGAGGGTATGAGGGCAGCGGGGCACGACGCGTGAAGAATTCATCACGAGCATTCACGTGGTCTGAATGTATGGTGAAGATGAGGCAATGATTGACCTGAGTGAAGCATCGACAGTGTATAAGCTCCATTCGGTGTTCCTAGTGCAGTCACGGAGGAACAGATGGATGGAAAGGGAAAAATTGAGGCGTAATAAGGTCTACATTTAGTCCAACGAAGTTCTCTCATCACAATACAGCATCAAGGAAATAAATGAATTCAAGTACATGTATATACGCCAGATGATGAATGCAATCTTGGATTTAAATAACACCGCAAATTTATGCAATTTAGAATGTATGGATAGTATTTCGTAGATTGTACACGAGAATCGTATAGACGGGTGACTCTTCAAAGTACTATAACAAATGTGTTGTATCTCAATCATATTAAATGCAAGAGCTAGACCGATCCGGTAGAAATTAAGGCGAGCCTCGATCATGCAGCGTTCATGTCTCTACATATTTGGAACTCGCTTGAACTTCAAATTAAACGGTAAGTTGAAACAGCCTGAAAATTCAATGGTATGTTGAAGCCAGCTGCTTGAGAATTCAGCACAATTTATTAAAAGTAGGGTACAGATGAGGATATATGGAGGATATCAATTTCTCAACAAATACTCACATGAATTCTATATACAAACGTTGAACGTGTCTCTGGAAATGACTTCACGTATTAACTTACCTGAACTTCCACTTCACCGATAAACATGACGAATCAGAGTTCACTAACCTAACATGAAGAATTAGAACGATTAATGGAACTTGACTTGAAAAAATGGCATAAATGACAATCAAGTGTGAACAAACGTGATGGAAGGAAACATTTAAAGGGTAAAAAAACAAATTAGATTCGAAAAACTCAGTCTTAAACCGGATGAACGATAACAGAATATCGCTTTATGCTCACCTTTCTTGAACAGTGATGTTTAAGAGTTATTTTCATTCGTAGAACACCGTTTCAAAAGATAACCGCTTTTATCAACATTCGTAACAAATTTCATAAGAGTTACTT